GACTTGCTCTTTGTCCCTGCTGCATTTTAGAGAGCCACCCTTCCTCGGTGGCACTTGGTGGGAGGAGCTGTCAATTGGGGTGCTCTACTCATGCTTCCCACCCCAAGGGAGGGCATACTACCCAGACTGGCCAACTAGAGTGTCCCATCCTTCCTGACCACACTGATTGTTCCGGGAATGGCATGTGATCCAAGTCAGGCCAATCAGACTCTTTTCCTGCTAGAGCCATCCCATAGCCACCCTCATCCTTGAATTTTCCAGTCTGATGAGCTAGTAGAATTGCTTTTTTTTGCATAAGCCGATTTCAGATCTCTGTCCTTGACACTGATAGGAGCCTTAAAATAAAATAAAATATAAAATAAAATGAACCCTCCAGTGTTGGAGCCTGCCTCCCCCCAGCATTGCATGAAAACAACAATAAGAAAAGCAACACTCAAAACAATAGGGGACACCTGGCTGGCTCCATTGGGTAAAGCATGCAACTTTTGATTCCAGGGCCTGAGTTCAAGCACCCCTCCAACACTCTGTTGGAGGTGGAAATTACTTTAAGACAAACAAACAACAACAACAACAAAAACCCCAGTAGTTTAAAGACATTTAAAATATTTATTCTTTTGGGGAAAAAATGCCACAAGAGATTCCAGTCCTAACACAGAGCAAAAAATTCCAAAATCCATTTTCTCCACCACTCCAGAGTTTCATACGTCTCATGTTTGCAGCAGCTGGCTCTTAAACTTGCTCCTTTCTTCTCCAAATGTCTAAGCTCCAGTTGGTTCTTAACTTTTTTCCTCCTCTCCTGCCTTCTCCAGCATTTATCGATCCAGTCGTGCTGGATGAGGCAGGAGAGGGAGAGACTGTGAATCCTCCTACAGTGTGGTCTTCTACATGGTGTTCTCCAGGTCAGTGGAAGAGGCGAGATTATAAAATCTCACCTGTGGAGGGAGGCACGACTGTGAAGTCATACTTTCAGAAGAGATACTGAGGTCTTTTAAGTATGAGTCAAGTTCAGCTTAGTAAACACTTAGTGAGTGCCTAGCAGTGCCAGCTAAGAGCCAGGAGGGAGGCTGGGTTGTCTGGGGCCTACAGAACTGTTTCGCTGTTGAAACAACAGTTTCACACGTTGAAAGTCTGTTGCTTTTACTATCATGTGCCAGGCCCTGGAGCTGAAGATTCAGGGACAGAGGGATTATTACAGGCACAAGAATGATTTCTATGAAATGACGATGAAGTCTCTGAAGGAGACACGTATGGGGATTGGGAACAAAGTCAGGAGGTGGGGATAGCACCCTGAGAGAGTGACATAGGAGCTGAGATGGAAGCAGGAAGAGAAGTTGGCTAGAAGACAGGGGGAAGAAAAATGCAGGAAGACAAAGGGCTGGAAAGAGAGAGGGATGGGGGAGAGGGAGAGGGAGGGAGGAAGGGAAAGGGAGAGACAGAGGGAGAGGGAGGGAGGAAGAGAGGAAGGTAGGGAGGGAGAGAAGGAGGGAAGGAGAGAAGGAGGAAGGGAGGGAGGAAGATAAGGAAGGAAGGAGAGAGAGGGAGGAAGGGGGAGAGAAGGAGGGAGGAAGGGAAAGAAGGAAGGAGAGAGGGAGGGAGACAGGGAGGGAGAGAGAAAGGGAGAAACCAGTAAGACTGTCTGTGAGGCTGGGGCCTGGAGAACTGGAGGAGAGGCTCAAAGGAGAGGTGGAGGCCACTTTGTGAACTCTGACCATGTGTAACAGCTCTTGAGCCTCATGCTGTGATAAGCCCCATATGCCACTTAGGGTTTAGGATGTGCTATGTGCTCTGTTCTGTTCTTTTCTTTTCTTTTTTCTTTTTTTTTTTTAAGATTTTATTTATTTATTCATGAGAGACACAGAGAGAGGCAGAGACACAGGCAGAGGGAGAAGCAGGCTTCCTGCAGGGAGCCCAATGTGGGACTTGATCCCAGGACCCTGGGATTATGACCTGAGCTGAAGGCAGACACTCAACCACTGAGCCACCCAGGCATCCCGGGATGTGCTTTGTTCTAAACCCGGAGCAGCTCCGTGATAGTTCTCCCACCCTGTGGAAAAGCAGGCTTACGTAGACACAGAAGAACCATTGGGTGCATTTCCTCACAATTCTGTGCTCAGTGACCTCATAATGAAATTGAGGCCGGCCGTGGAGGCATTCACACCTCCACAAGTGCTACCAAGCAGGGCTTCCTCCTGCCCACCAAGACCCAGTTGTTAAAAATTTCCCAAGCTCTACCTTCCCACCACTGCTTCTACCCAATAATCTAATACAAGGAGGAAGCTGACCTGCCAGCGCTCATGAGAGTCTAGGGCTGTGATCTTTGCAAATCAGGAAATGATCAAGATTGCAGAATTTTATTTTTGTCTACCCTTAACCATCTGGAAGAGGAATAGCAGAAGTTCAAACCCACAGGCTCTGAGGACAGCCAGACCAAGGTCCAAATCCCAGCCATGTCACTAACTGGCTGTGTGACCTTGGGTAAGCAGTGTAACCTCCCAGAGTTTCATCTGTTAAAAGAGATACTAACACACTCCCCTCGTGGGGTTGTGGTGAGGATCAAATACTACAATATACGTAAACTGTAGTACCTGCTGCATTACAAGGATTCAAATAAGTGTTAATGCTAGTGAATGCTGTTTTAGATAAAGAGATCTCAGTAGAAGTAGACTCATTTTATTCCCAAATGGCCTTATTATCAGTATTTGAGAGAGTGAAAAGAAATTGAGGCCGCACATTGAAGACCTGTGTCCCACTAGGTTGTGGTCACTGGCTGAGATTTTCTGGCCCACAAGCAAGATGACTTCTTTGAAGGTTTTGAGAGATGGAACTGTCCTGACCTTTGTGCCAGACGCACTATAGCCTAACCTGAGATTATAGGGTGGGCACGGGAGGGAACAGGGGAGAACAAGCATTTGACAGATTTTGTCAAAAAGATCAGGTGCCGCGGGGATCCCTGGGTGGCTCAGCAGTTTAGCACCTGTCTTCGGCCCAGGGCATGATCCTAGAGTCCCGGGATTGAGTCCTACGTCGGGCTCCCTGCGTGGAGCCTGCTTCTCCCTCTGCCTGTGTCTCTGCCTGTCTCTCTTTTTCTGTGTCTCCCATGAATAAAGACATAAAATCTTTAAAAAAAAAAAAAAAAGAAGAAGAAGAAGAAGAAGAAGAGGTGCCAGATCCAGACAAGCCCAGTAAGTGGAACAGGTGGCAGATGAAGACATTTCCCCACGGCCCCATCCCCACTGCCAAGCTGCTCCCCGTTCAGTGGGATTCTGGGCCTGAAAGGACTGCAGTAGGTTGGATAAAGACACAATTTCTGACTCAAAAGGAGATTCAAAGACACATGGGGGTCTTTCCATCTTCCTTGCCTTTGAGGTCCAAATATGGTCCCTGTGAGCCCCAACTGAACTGAAGTCATGAAAATGCATTCTCTCGGCCAAGAACTGCTGAGCTACAAGTTGAGAGCTGGCATCAGCCACAGAGAGGAGCCCAGGATCGCCTCTGCTCAGTGGCTGCTCCTAGTTTATGGGCATGGTCACGGATGACCTACGGTCACCCCACCTGTCACTGATACCCAGAGAGCAGACAAAGAAATTACCCAGATGCACTGTGACCATGGAGTCAGGCCCCGGGGCTGAACCCAGAATCTAGCACCTGCATCCGCTCTCTGGCCCCAGAATGGCCGTATCCCCATCTGTAAAGAGGAGGCCATACTTCCTTGGACAGTGGTGGAAAAGAGAAAAAAATAACATTTAATAAAGGAGAGCGATGATTGCTTTTAGAATCTTTTTTTTTTTTAGGATTTTATTTATTTATTCATGAGAGACACACACACATAGAGAGAGAGAGAGAGGCAGAGACACAGGCAGAGGGAGAAGCAGGTTCCCTGCAGGGAGCCTGACATGGGACTCAATCCCAGGACCCCAGGATCATGCCCTGGGCTGAAGGCAGCACTAAACCACTGAGCCACCTGGGCATCCCTGCTTTTAGAATCTTGTTGGAGAAGCAATATATGTAAATTACTGAAAAACTTAGAAACTAAACATGAGCAGAGGGCAGCCCGGGTGGCTCAGCGGTTTGGCGCCGCCTTCAGCCCAGGGCATGATCCCGGAGACCCCAGGATTGAGTCCCGCATTGGGCTCCCTGCATGGAGCCTGCTTCTCCCTCTGCCTGTGCCTCTGCCTCTCTCTCTCTCTCTCTGTGTCTCATGAATAAACAAATAAAATCTTAAAAAAATAAAGAATTATAAAAAACAAATAAATAAATAAACATGAGCAGAAAGAAGCAACTTAAATATGACATATATCTCCTCACCACCCAGAGACTAACAGCCGTGAGCATACTGGTGTACATCCCGGGTCTGTAACCCATGCCTATGGACACACAGGTTTTTGTTTTGTTTTGTTTTGTTTTTTTAACGGAGCCATATTTTGCTACTTGCTTTTCTGCTACGGTGCAAACATCCTCGAGGCATTACAAGTGCTCAGGTGACTGGTATCACACCCAGAGGCTTTGGTGTCTGGGTGTCGCAGGCATCAGCTTTCCCCCAGAACAAGCCTGTTAGCTCTGGAGGCTGCCACTCCCCGCGTGAAGTGTGCACAGGATAATAGGACCGACCCGCCAGATTTTCAGAGGGATCAAGGCGGATAACGCGTGGGCAGTGCTTGGCTTAGGACCGGGTACTTCACAGGCCCCGCCCCCGCCGGGGTGTTGTTAAGCTGGGCCTGAGCTCAGTTCTGCAGGTGCTGAGTGTCCCACGTTGGAATTCCTAGCGGGTTGGTGGGGACACGCAGTTTGCCCTCCCCGCACCCCCCCTTAGGCGGGGGGGGGCGGGCGGGGCGCGGGCGGCGGCGGGGCGGCCCCGGGGAAAGCCCGCGACGGGGCGGGGCGGGGCGGGGCGGGGCGGGGCCGCCCCTCGGCCTCCAATGGGGGCGGGGCGGGGCCGCCCCTCGGCCTCCCATTGGCTGCGGCCGCGGCGGGCTGCGGGCGGGGAGCTGGGGGCGCGGGAGGTGGACCCTGGCGGCGCCGGGCGCGCGGCGCGGGAGCCGGCCTGGCGGGGGTCGGGCGGTGGGCCCCCTGCTGCTGTGCCTGCTGCTGTGCCTGCTGCAGTCGGCGCTCGGTAAGCGCGGGGGGCGGCCGGGGCGGGGCGGGGCGGGGGGCCGGGGCCGCGGATCCGGGCCCGCGGAGCTCCCGGGAGGGGGGAGCCCGCCGAGCAGGTGCGCCCCTCCCGGGCCCACCCGCCACCCTTGTCTTCCAAGCTGGGACTTGGGACGAAGCAGACCCGAGTCCCTGACAGTTCCTTTTTCCGGACGAAACTGAGCCAGTTTCCTGATGCCAGGTCTACGGACGGGGGCCGCCTAGACAGCAGCCGCGCTGTTCCATCAAGGGCTGTTTAAGTTTCCTAAAAGCACTGCCCCCTGCGCTAACGGGACCCTGGGTCCTCGCTGCGGGGAGGGCAGCCCGCAGCCCTTCCCGGGGCCACGGTTTCAGAGGCGCCCCCCAGACCGAGGGGAACTGCTCCAGCTTCCCCGGGCGCTGCCGTTACCCCGCCAGTCCAGCTGCTTCTCTGGGCTCCCACTGGTCAATAAGGGGGCAGGGTGCAAAATACCCCGGGCCGGGACCCAAGCACCAAACCCGGGCCAACCCGAAGGTCTCAATATTGCCCCCAGTCTTAGCTAACAATTTCAGAGCAAGAGGATTGGGCATAATCTAATACTAATATTAAAAGCCAACGTTTCTTGAGCAACTTCTTTGCGCTGGACACCACTCTGTCCTATGTAAGAGGGAAAGCCCAAAGGTTCTAGGGAGGTAAGTACTATTTTCTCCCATTTCTTTTTTTTAATGTTTTTTTTAATTTATTTATTTATGATAGTCACACAGAGAGAGAGAGAGAGGCAGAGACACAGGCAGAGGGAGAAGCAGGCTCCACGCACCGGGAGCCCGATATGGGACTCGATCCCGGGTCTCCAGGATCGCGCCCTGAGCCAAAGGCAGGCGCCAAACCACTGCACCACCCAGGGATCCCTATTTTCTCCCATTTCACATGGGGAAACTGAGGCTCAGAGCAATCAGGGAAATTGCTAAGAAGGAAAACGCAGGTGGGATGTGTGGAAGAGAAGACGGACGCTGAAGCAAGCGTGGCCAGCTTTTGCCGTGGGGTGGGCAGCTGGAGTGAGACCATCCATCCACCTAGGTCAGCTCAGGGGGTGCCCCAGCCCCTGTACCTCCAAAGCAGTAGCTGTTTTTGCAGCTGGTGAGGGATAGTGTACCTGTGTGTATGTGGCGGGTGGGGGGATCCTCTGTCCCCCTGTTTCACTGTCAAACTCAATAGTTTGCTGTCTGGACGTAGCTACCCTTTAATCTGAGGAATATTTAATACACCCAACACAAATGGTGCTGTGGGATGATTTAGGGTGCAGGGCAGCCGAATCCAGGTTCAAATCTTGGTTCGCACACAAACTGGCTGTGTAGCCTCAGGCAGATCACTTACCATCTGTCTCTGAGTCCAGGGCCCCTCCATAGAGGGGGAATGGCACCTTTTTCATAGGGTGGTGTGTCCTGAGGACCTAATGAGGTTTTGTGTATCGAATGCCAAACCGGTGCCTCCCACCCTTTGAAGGCTGGATAGATGGTAGTTACCATCTACTACTCTAGCTGCTTTTTCTCCACTGTGGCCTACTTCAGACTCTGGACGTGTCCTGCCCACGAGATACCGTCTAAGCTATCGTATAAGATACCTTGTAGGACAGACTTTGGCCTCACTGCTCACCTGCTAGAAAGCTGGGAACAATGACAGCATCTGCACCCCAGTGATCCAGTTCCAAGTAGGGATCACAGGATGAGGTGGGAGCAGCCACTCATATTTGAGTTAAAAGGTCAAGGGTAGGGAACTGTGCTGAGAGCCATCAGTAGGCCTGCCTCTCTCCCATGCCACTCTGTAAGCTGTATGGATTTCCATCAGGGCCGTGTGACACTTTAGGGAGCTGAATTCTCTTGGGACCAGCAGGAATGGAATTATATTCCTCTTTGAAACTTCCAGTGTGCAGTGGTCAACAGATGTCATTGGCCTATAGTGGTTCATAGATGTTGGAAGAATAAAGCTGAAAAGTCCCCCTGAGAGCCTCCAGGAGGAAGTGTGGGTCAGGAGCTCAGAATTTGGAGTTGGCTAGGCCTGCATTTCTGCATTTCTGAATTCTGATCCTACAAGTTATCACCTGAAAAGTCCTGTTTCCCTCATCCGTAATGTGGTGATCACAGTTAGGACCTACCTCCTAGGGATGTGGGGAGGATCGAAAGAAAATGCAACAATGTGCTTAGCATAGCTCCTGGCATATAGCTAGGACGCAATACACGTTAGCTTCTATCACCATCCTCATCAGCACCGTCACCCCACCACCACTTCTTAGAGACTCGCTGAGGAAAGTGACATTTGGATCAAGTCTTTAAAAGATTAGCTGGTTAAAAAAAAAAAATTGGATGGCAAAGATGAGGCAGGCAAAGACCCCTGGGTTCAAAGTCTCCCAAGAGCGGGCAGCCCCGGTGGCCAGCTGTTTGGTTTGGCTATAGCTGGGGAGCATGCTGGGGGAGGTTGATAAGATGGCCTGTCATGTACCTCAATAAGGAGCGTGTACTTTATTCTAAGTTCCAGGGAAGGGCACCGAACTGGGGAGAAGTGTCATCAGGTGTATATGTCAGAAGACAAGGGTTAGCGGTGAGGTGTCAAGGAGGGGAAGTAGAAGCTAGTTAAGGGTAGTCAGGGAAAGTGTCCCTGAGAGAGTGACATGAGAGCAGAGGTGTGAAGGAAGCAAAGGAGTGAGCCGGGTAGAGATCCAGGGAGGCGACAGTCTAGACAGAGGGCACAGCTCGTGGAAAAGCCTAGAGCTGGAGGTAGAGTGTGTCTGGGATGCTCTAGGAATAGCAGAAAGGCCAGTGTGGCTGGAGAGCAGGGGCCAGGGGGAGAGCAGTGGGAGGGATTAGGTAGGCCTTGGGGGGATTATAAAGACTTTGGATATAACCTTGAATGAAGTGAAGGCCATTAGAGGGCTTAAAGCAGAGGAGCAACATGATCTGACTTTCATTTTCACCCTTGCTGCTGTGTGCAGAATGGACTGAAGGGGCAAGGTTGGAAGCAGGGAGACCAATTGGGAGGCCTTTGGAATAATCCAGTTCATCACAATAATTCATTCATTCAACAGATGTTTATCGTGCATCTACTCTGTGCCAGGGACCATGGCAGGCAAGCTCCTGGACATGGCTAAGAACAGAATTTAGTGTCTGCTCCTGAGACCCTCAGGGCTGTTCCCTCCTAGAGTCTAGCAAACCCAGCAGATGGTTCCTGTTCGGAGGAGTTCTACTGAAACCCTCAGGTGCCTGAGTGGGCAGGAGCTTCCTGTCGTGGTACAAATGGGCCACTGAGGCTGGGTTGGGGCTGTGGGGCGTGGGGGAGAAGGGACTGCACTACAGGCCGTCAGTGGCACGACTGTGACTGGAATCCTGACCCTGGGTTCCCCGCCTACAGCATGTCACCTGTGCTTTAGCTACCCCAGAGGACTCCTGCTTCTCAAACCCAGTGAACACCTGATTGCCCACCACGCCACTCCCTTGGCTCCAATGGCCCATGTCAAGACCAGCCAGCAGCTCCAGGCTTCACGACCTCTTTCTCTCCCACAGGGAAGCCCTGTCTGGCCCCTCCCCAGAACGTGACACTGCTCTCCCGGAACTTCAGTGTGTACCTGACTTGGCTCCCGGGGCCTGGCTACTCCCAGAATGTGACCTATTTTGTGGCCTATCAGAGGTAGAGGGGAGCCTCCAATCTGGGGACTGAAGAGGTGGGCAGAGACTGGAGGGGCTTGGCTGGGACAGCTGCCCTGGGCGTGGTCAGCTTCCTGGTTCTATGTCCCATGGGAGACAGCACATGGCAGGTGCTTGGAGAGCACCCTTTTAAAGGTCTGGAGGTGGGAAGGATGTAATCAGGAGGGCGGTGCACAGGTGCTGGGTCTGCCGGAGCTCAGGGGATCTTTGAGAAGAGTCCAACAGGGCTCAAGTAGAGCTACAGGGGCCCAGTGGTGGAATTCCTCAGTGCTTGGATGAGGGGCTTGGAGCGGTTCCAGCTGACAAGGAAGAGCATATCTCCTGAAGAGCCCGTGGTAGGCACTGCTAGAGGATCGCCCTGTTCCCCACAAAGCCCCGGGGTCTTCTCAACCCCAGCGGTCCAGGCCGCCACTACAAAACCAAAGAAATCTGAAAGTGGAAGCACATTTGCCATCTTTGCACATAAATGGGAATCATTTGAGGTTCTCTAATGGGCCAGTCAGGTGATGAAAGCAGATAGTCAAGAGAACCATCTAGGACTGGCGAGGAGGAAGAGGAAGCAGGCAGGGGACGTAAGTGCCATGTGCACAGGGCCCACCTATGCCAGGCTGAGTCCTAACATCTTGCGTGACTGTTTCACTTCTGCCTCCCTGTATAGCCAGGCAGGTGCTACATTTCCCCTGTGTTATTTTTTTTAATATTTTATTTATTTTATTAGAGGGAGAGAGTGTGAGCAGGAGGAGGAACAGAGGGACCGTAGAGCCTGACACAGGGCTCCCTCTCACGACTCTGAGATCATGACCTGAGTCGACATCAAGAGTCAGATGCTTCACCGGCTAAGCCACCCAGGTGCCCCCGTACTTCCCCCATTTTAGAGGCAAGGAACCTGAGCTCAGAGAGGTGCCGCGATTTGCCAACGAAACCAGGGACTGAACCAGGAGAAAAACCACCATCTGCCTGGTGCCAAATCTTATGTGCTTCCTGTTCTGTCATGGTCCCTCCTTCTGTTGAATCCAGATGTGAGCGATGGGGGCCTACTTTGGAAGAGCACAGATTGCAAGCGAGCTTTCAGCAGAAAGAACTGTACAGAAATGTATCAGGAGGCAGAAAATACCTAATGTGTACTGTGTGCCGTGTGTCAGGCACTGTGTCCACACAGACTTCTTTATTCTCACACAGCCCTGTGAGGACGGATGAGGCACCTGCCCTCTGCAGGGCGGAAAATGGAGACACCAAGAGTGTATTTTGCTAGAAGTCACACAGCTGGGGATAGTGGAGCCGGGATAAATTGATTAAAATCAAAAGTCCATCCTCCAGACCTTTTATGATATTGTACTTCTCTTTTACACTTTTTAAGCACCCGTGAGGATTCTAAAATGATGATATTCTAATTGGTTTTTTTTTATTTATTAGGTAGAATTATTTTATCTTTATTTTTTTTAAGATTTATTTATTTATTTATTCATAGAGACACAGAGAGAGAGAGAGAGTCAGGCTCCATGCAGAGAGCCTGACATGGGACTCGATCCAGGGTCTCCAGGATCATGCCCTGGGCTGCAGGCGGTGCTAAACCACTGCGCCACCGGGGCTGCCCTAGGTAGAATTATTTTTTACAAAAAGATGCTTCCTCTCTTGTAGTATTTGCTATTCAGTAGTATTATTCAGATAGGCAAAGAATTAGGAATTTTTTTAAAAATTTTAATTAATGAGAGTAACAGAGAGAGAGGCAGAGACATAGGCAGGGGGAAAAGCAGGCTCCCCACGGGGAGCACCATATGGGATTTGATTCCAGGACCCCAGGATCACGACCTGAGCCAAAGGCAGACACTCAACCACTGAGCCACCCAGGCGCCCTTCAATAGGCGAGAGCCTGGAAGCATATCACTGAGGCTGAGGAAAGTTCTTGCAGCATTTCAGAAACCCCAGGGTTGTTGTCAATTGGCTTGAGCAGTTATTCAATAGATAACTCTAATACCACCTCTGTTCCTGGCTTCTGCTGAGATGACTGATGAAGTCCATGAGTCCATTCGTGATTTCCTTATCAAATGATATCCTAGCCACACCCTTGGTGTTCCATCTAGAACTTGCTTTCTTATTTTTTTGCCATATGCATAGGCTGAGCTTTTTCCAGTTATGGTTACTTTTTTGTCCAACCACCCTTTCTATGTGCTTCTCTCCTGTCTCCTTTTACCATAAACAGTAAGGAGAAACCAGGTCACATCACATCTTCACATCTTTGCCTAGAAATCTCTTCCTTGCCTAGAAAATGAGTCAAGTTCATCAATTTTAACTTCTGTTTCCTACTAAAGACCAAAACAATTCAGGCAAGTTCTTTGTCACTTCATAATAAGGATCACCTTTCCCCCAGTTTCCGGTAAGACATACTTCCTTTGCATACGAGTTCTTCCCAGAAGCACCTTTGACTCCGTATTCCTACCAACAGTCTCCTCAAGGCACTCTGGCATTTCTAGAGTTAGAAAGAAAAGCATAATTATCAAAGTTGCAAACTGCATATGCAGTTTCCAAAGCATATTTGGGCCAAATATGCACCCAAAAATTCTTCCCACCTCTAGCCATTCCCTAGTTGCAAAGCCACTCCCCCATTTTTAGCTATTTTTTAGCATCCCATGTGTGGTACCAAAATCTGTATTAATCCGCTAAGGTTACCATGATGAAATACCATAGTCTGGGGACTTAAACAATAGACGTATTTCTCACAGTTCTGGAGGCTAGAAGCCCAATATCAAGGCATCAGCAGGTTTGCTTTCTCCTGAGGCCTCTCTCCTTGGCTTGTAAGTGGCCACCTTCTCTCTCTGTCTTCACATGGCCTTTTCTCTGTGTAAGAGCATGCCTAGTATCCCTTCCCCTTCTTTAAAGAATATAAATCCTATTGGTTTAGGGCCCCACCCTCGTGACTGCATTTGATCTTAATTACCTCTTTAAAGGCCCTATCTCCAAGGGCCTAGACTGCCATATGGGGGGTTTGGGCTTCAGCATATGAATTTGGGGGGAATACAGTTTAGTCCATAATGCCAAATAAACTGGATTCCATCAGATTTAAAACTTTTACTCTTAAAAAAAAAAGGCTGAAGAAAATGAAAGAGCCAGCTACTGAGAAAAAACAATACTCACAATATATACACAGGAAAGACTGGTATCCAAAATAGATAAAGAACTCCTGGATCTCAATAATAAGATCACCCAAAAAGACTTGAATAATTGTTTCGCAAAGGAAGATATTCGAATGGCCAAAGAGCACATAAAAAGATGTTCAACAGCCTTAGTCATCAGGGAAATGCAAATCAAAGCTACAGTGAAATACTACCACACACCAACTAGAATGGTTAAAATTAAAGGGACTGACAATACTAAGTGTTGACAAGCATGTAGAGTAACCAGAACTCTTGTGCGCTGTTGGTGGGAATGTATGGTCACTTTGGAAAGCAGCTTGACAGTTTTCTTGATGAGTTTCACCTTCAGTTACCAAATCTCCCAGATTCTACTCCTAAAGCTTTATTTAGGAGAAATGAAAACATATATCGATACAAAGACTTATACGTGAACATCCATACCAGTTTAATTCATAATAGGCCTGAAATATACTGAATTGTACACCTCTATACTCATATGCTGCAGCCCTAACCCCCTATACAACTATTTGGAGATGGGAATCTTAAAGCAATTAAGATTAAACACTGCCGTAAGGGTGGGGCTCTAAGCCAGTAGGACTATGTGCTAATATTTTTGTTAATATTTCGTTGATGGTTCATGTGTGACTCAACTAGTGCAGTTCTATTTATGTTCATTAGACCAACTTTGATAATTATGTTTTTCTTTCTTGTGTGTTTTACATACTTCCTGATGATTTTTCTTTGTTCAGTCATCAATTACTGAGTGAAGTGTATTAAAAACTTTTCATGATTGTGGATTTTCTGTTTCTTCCTATAATTTTGTCTATCTTTGCTGTATAGAGTATATTTAGCAGGCACATATAAGGGAGAGTTTTTATATCTTCCTGATAAATGGAATAATTTCTCATTATGTGGTGATTCTTCTCATCTTTAGTATTTCTTTGAAGTCTGTATTTTGTCTTACATTAATATAACTACACCAGGGTTTTTTTGTTTTGTTTTGTTTTGTTTTGTTAATATTTCCATACTAGAGCTCAAGAAACAAAACAGAGGAGTTCTTTCCAAAAATCTGTTAATATTTCCATACTAGAGCTCAAGAAACAAAACAGAGGAGTTCTTTCCAAAAATCTGTTCTCTTTGCCTATGCCATCTCACCCTCCTCCATTCACATACCTCTCGGTCCCCAAACCCAGGAGTAGCTTTCAGTCCTCCTCTCCTCACGTTTCATATCCAATCCATGAGCAGGTTCTACCAGCTTTACCTCCAAAATATATCCCCCGCCTAGCCCCTTCTCTCCATCCTCACCTCTCTTCTCCCTTAAACCACTGCTGCAGCCTCCCAGCTGGTTTATCAGAGTGATCTTTTTTCTTTTAAGATTTATTTATTTATTTGAGAGAGAGAGCGTGCATGCCCGAGAGCCAATGGGGGAGGGGCAGAGGGGGAGAGAGAGGAAGAGAATCTCAAGCAGACCCTCTACTTAGCACAGAGCCAAAATGGGGTTCAATCTCACAACCCTGAGATCGTGACCTGGGCAGAAACCAAAAGTCTGATACTCAACCAACTGAGCCACCCAGGCGCCCCAAGAGTGATCTTTTAAAAAATAGAAATTAGGCCCCTTCAGTCCCGTCCCCCTAGTCAGAACCTTCCACTAGGAATAAAATCAAGCTTCTTACCAAGATGGGAAGTCCCCAACTACTCTGCCCACCCACTCTTCTACCCACCTCTCCAGCCTGTCCATACCTCTCCCTACCTCCTTCCCCCTTGTCCACTGGCCTACAGCCATGCTGGCCTCCTTGCTGTCTTCTGGACAGGCCAAGGTCCTTCCCACTGCAGGGCTTCCACTTTTGCCATTCCTTCCCCCAGGCCTACACCTGGCTTCCTTGCCATCAAGGCCTTTCCTGGCCTTTCCAGAGCCTCCTTTTGGAAAGCGGTCCTCCCACATTCCCCGTTACCACTGCACTTACCCGCTCCTGGGTTGACCTCATGGATGTGATGATTGTCTTTCTCTACCACCACCCCCGCCTCCCACCGCCAGCCACCAGAATGTAGGCTCCCAAGGGCAGGACCTGTCAGACATTCCCAGTTCCCCAAGAACAATGCCTAGTGTGCAAGTCCCTTTTTTGGACCCCAGTGTTCTCAGAAGGTTGGCGTCACAGACCTGTGTGTCCCCTCTGACAGCCACACGGCATCCAGTAGGATGCCCGGCACACAGCAGATAACCCGAAAGGCCTGAATGAAGAATGTGGGATGTGGTTGCTATAACTAGTAGTAGCAGCCACCACGTGGCCCCCGGGAGGCAGGAGGATGAGGAGGCTGACCTGCTGAGAACCAGAGCTAGTGAGGGGCAGAGCCAGGATCCTGCCACCTGCTTCTCTGCAGAGCCTGAGCTCCTAACTAGACTGTTCTCATTCTGTCCCAGCCCATGGCTGGTTGATAGGATGGATGAACGGGTGGACAGTCAGGTGGATGGAGGGACAAGGGACCCCATGTTCACTAAACTCCCTCTCCCCAGAGGCAGTCCACAGCCTAAGCTCCCCTGTCTCCTCCCTCAGCGCTCCGACCCCTAGAAGGTGGCGAAAAGTGAAGAAGTGTGCGGGAACCAAAGAGCTGGCATGTTCTTTGATGTGCCTGGAGAAACAAGACCTATACAACAAGTTCAAGGGGCGTGTGTGGGCGGTTTCTCCCAGCGCCAGATCCCCCTCTGTGGAGTCCAAGTACTTGGATTACCTTTTTGAAGGTGAGTGTGTGGCTACAGGATCTGGTGGGAGACTCCCTGTGCAGGATCTTGGCCTAGTGGCATTGCAGTCCCAGCCACCGGCTTCCACTTCCCCAAGGCAGAGGGCAGCCTCGGGTAGCCTGGCTTTGTGGCAGGGAGTCACAGGGGGCTTCTGCTGGGCCACCAATTCTGTTTGTACCTCCTCCTAGTGATGTTCTTTATCTTCTATCGAGCACAACCTTAGTCATGAGCTATATGAGGCATTTTAGAGATTTATTCCTATTTTTTATGTTCAAATTCTCTTTAAGAAACAATTTTTTTAAATTCCAGTTTCAAAAGTATTTTCTTTACAATGAAGAAATTGGGGGTGGAGGGGGCAGGCAGAGAAGTAGATAAGAATAGAGAGGAAAGCATCCCCCATGTGTACCGCGTTCAGAAATCACCAGTGTTAACACTGAGCCAAGCCCTTTTCTCTTCCCAGAATATTTTATTCCTAATCCTAACGACAAACCTGTGGGGTTCGTTTTCATCAACCCATTTTTTAAAAAAAATAAACAAAGTAAGACTCACAAAAGTTAAGGAACTTTCCAGGATACACAGCTAATAAGGGATGGAGATTGAATGTGAATCTGGAGGTTTTTGGTTTTGTTTTGTTTTTTTTTAAGATTTTATTTATTCATGAGAGACACCGAGACAGAGGTAGAGACATAGGCAGAGGGAGGAGCAGACCCCCGCGGGGAGCCTGACACGGGACTCCATCCCGGGACTCCAGGATCACGCCCTGAGCTGAAGGCAGATGCTCAACCACTGAGCCACCCAGGGGTCCTGAATCTGGAGCTTTCTAATGTTGGTCATGGTACTGGACCAGACCAAGTGTGGTGTGGGGTGGTAAGAAGGAGAGGATAAATACTCAGAAAATAGCATCATGGAGCTGAGATCTGTAACTTGCTGCCCAGTCTTCTCAAAATATTTGAGAGCAAAATAAGGTTTGGATAGAGAGGAAGACAGGCTTGAATGAAATGGGGCAGGGGCAGGGAGCAATAATAGGAAGGAAGAAGAGCTGACTTGGGTAGAAGAGGCTGGCTGGCCGGCTGGCTGGATGAGAAGGGGGGAAAGGATGGATGGGTAAGAAGAAAGGCAGCAGGGGGGTGTGCAGGAGTACATGGCAGAGAGGGCAAAGAAGAAGGCTCTGTGGGAAAGCATGCTAACTAGAAAGGGAGCATGTGTGGACCGGAAGACAGAGGGAAAGGCAGATGGACCGATCTCTGGGTGGATAGAAGGTGGGGAAGAGAGAAGAGATGGAAGGGCAGGAGGAAAGGGGAGACAAAGGAGGAAGGGAGGGAGGAAGGAGGACCAGAGGGAATGATATATGGAAAGTAAAGGAGGATGGATGGATGGATGGGGAGGATGGAGGGTAGGCTTGGCTAAACTAAAGGCAGGAAGACAGTATGCAGGAACAGGAAGAAAGGATGGGTGGCAAGGAAGGAGCGTTGGTTGGAAAGAAAGGAAGGATGGGCAGGCAGGCTAAAAGCGCTAGGATGAGCCAATAGTTGGGGGGACAGGAAGAAGAGATTAGGGTAGAAGGAAAGACACAGTGGGGAGGTTACTTCTTTTATTGTGCTTGCCGCTGCCTCCCTAAAGCTCTCCTGACTTCCCGCAGTGCACCCCGAGCCAGGATGAGCCTTCCTGCCTCTTTCTGCCCTGGGCTGGAGCTCAGGCCATTTGCTCTCTTTGGTAGTTTGTATATTTCATTGCCCCCCAATTTCCTCCAGCTCCTGGAGGTCAAGATCCCCGTTCCCGCCAGCAGCCTGCCCAGGGCTTAATGTGTAATCTGTGTCCACCGGACTCTGACCTGCAGAACTGGGAAATCATGTGTCCGTGTTGCTTTAAGGCACCCCGTTGTGGGGATGTGTCAGCAGCCGCAGGAGGCTGACCCAGGTGGGCAGGATTCTGAGAGATCAGTGTATGTGAAGGGCACGCAGGTGCAAGGGGCAGCAGGAGGAAAGGCGGGTGAGCTGGGAGCCCGGCCTGTTCATTCCTCTCTAAGCCTCAGTTTGTCCCTTTGTAGGATGAGAATAGGTATCTCCCTTCCAGGGTCACTGCAGAGCTTAAATAAAATGGCCTTAAGGCTCTTGATGCATACTAGGTGCTTAACAAGCCCTAGAGCCACTTTTCCCTTTCCAGGAGCGCTCTCTGGGCTGGGGGTAGGGGCGGGGGCAGGGGTCTGGGGGAGGGGCAGGCCTGCCTACAGGCAGGAGGATGGATGATGACAGGTCCTGTTCTGTTTCTGCCAGTGGAGCCAGCCCCTCCCACCCTGGTTGTCACTCGGACAGAGGAGATCCTGAGCATCAATGCCACGTACCAGCTGCCCCACTGCATGCCCCCACCAGATCTGAAGTATGAGGTGGATTTCTGGAAGGAAGGAATCAAGAACAAAGTAAGAAGTCCCTTTCCTACTCCCCAGGCTGGACCTCCCTCTCCCACTGCCCCACCAAACCCCAATGCCTCTCACCCTCCCTGCCTACTTTCTACACACTTCCAGGAAGTCCTCTCCACATGCCTCTCTCTCCTAGCAATCACCCCCTGACTCTGTACAGTACAATTGGCCTGTGGCCTTCTCCACCTAAGAAGCCAAGTATAGAACATGCTGCCCCTGCACATTATAGGTGGGAACAGCACACTTGTTTTCTACCCAATATATATGTTTTTAAATCATGAAACCCTTTTTGTCCAGTGAAATCTGATTGAAGTATGATAGGCTCTAGGAGGCCTGCTTGCCGAGCCACTGGATTCATTACCAAAAAACCCAGAAAACACAGGTACGTTCTAGGAAAAAAAAACTAAAAGTGCCCAGAGACCACAAATATCCACTTTCAGATTTATTTCTCATGTACGCAGGTGTGTGTGTGTGTGTGTGTGTGTCTGTCTGTCTGTCTGTCTGTATATATTGATTGATGGCAGAGGTTGGCATTTTCTGTAAAGGGCCAGATAGCAAATATTTTCTTACTTTGAGAGTCATGTGGTCTGTCACAGCTAGTGGACTCTGCATCTAACACATGAAAGGAGCCACAGACAAGGGTCAGTGAACGGGCATTGCTGTATTCCAGGGAAATGCCATGTGCAAAAAAAAGTGGCAGGCCAGATTTGACCCATGGGCTATAGTTTACTGACCCCTGTTCTTATTCATTCTTGCTTTCACTGAACCAACTAACATTCACATTCCCGACTGCCTACATCTGTAGTCTGGATTCTAGAGCTTCTTCTGACATGGTCCCTGCCTCCGAGAACATCACAAACACCCTAGACCAGCGCTGTCCAATAGAAATGTAATGTGAGCCACAGGTGCAATTTTAAATGCTCCTCATTAAATTAAGTAAAAGAAACAAGTTGATTTAATTTTAATAATATATTTTGTTTCATCCAATAAAATGTTATCATTTCAGTATGTGAATAACATAAAAGTTATTGGCATGTTTTGCATTCTTTTTTCACTTAGTCTTTGAATTTCTTTTTTTTTTTTTAAAGATTTTATTTATTCATGAGAGACATATAGAGAGAGGCAGAGACACAGGCAGAGGGAGAAGCAGGTGCCCTGCAGAGAACCTGATGCAGGGCTCCATCCCGGGACCCTGGGATCATGCCCTGAGCTGAAGGCAGACGCTCAACTCCTGAGCCACCCAGGTGTCCCTTTTCACTTAGTCTTTGAAAGCCAGTGTATATTTTATACTCAGAGCACATCTCATTTTGGACTGGTCATGCTTCAAGTGCTAGTAGCCACATGTGGGCAGTGGCTACTGGACTGGGCAGGCAGCCCTAGGGTTTTCTGGGTCTGTAATGACTGAATGATGCTCCCTACCCCCAAATACATCAGGAGGCCCTGAGGGCAGGAATCCTGAGCAATCTGCCCTTCAGAATGGGGACCCGGAGGTCCTCGGGGGCACACACAAGGGTGACCCTGAGTAGCAGAGCTGCCTCTGAGCGCAGACCATCTCTACTTCAAGACTCAGTGGAAAAGAAGGTAGATAATGTAGGGGAAGTGCTCCCTTAATGCTTAAACTGTAATGCAGGGAAAGAAGATGTGGGGATCACAGCAGTAGCCTACGGACCCCACCCTGTCCTGGCTCCATAGAGCCAATCCCCACAGCAGGTCTGCCCACCTCTGTCTCTCCAAACAGACGCAATTTCCAGCCACCCCCCGCGGCCAGCCAGTCCAGATCCCCCTGCAGCCAGCCATCAGCGGACACTACTGCCTCCGTGCCAGAACCATCTACACTTTCGGCGATCCTAAATACAGCGAGTTCTCCAAGCCTACCTGCTTCTTCCTGGGGGCCCCAGGTGAGTGCCAAGTGATACAGAAGTGAGGACATCCCCCACCCCTGGTACCCAAGGGCATAGTATCTCCATCATATGGTGGTTAAGGGCATGAGTCTAGAGATAGACTCGCCTCGATTAAAATCCCAGCTCCACGCACTCACTGTGTCTTTGGGTAGCCTGCATAGCCTCTCTGAATCTTGGTTTCCATAGTCTGTAGGATGGCTTTACTCTTCTGAGGATTACATGGGACAATGCATGTGAAGCTGGCATACATATGCAGTTGATAGATGGGAGCCGTGGTCATTGTTTCTGCAGTTTGGCGGCGGGGGGGGGGTTAGATTTATTTATTTCAGAGAGAGAGCTCACGAGCAGGGGTGGGACAAGGGGCAGAAGGAGAAAATCATTCAAGCAGACTCCACCCTGAGTGCAGAGCCCCGGTGACTTGGGGACTCGAGGCTCAATCCCACGACCCTGAGATCCCTACCCAAGCCCGAATCAAGAGTCAGAGGCTCAACTTGACTGAGCCAGCCAGGTGCCCCATGTTGCTGTAGTTCCTATTTTTCCTTCCCTAGGAACCAGCTGGGCATTCCTGGGGCTGCTACCACTTCTGCTTCCACTGTTGTTGGTCATTGCCATCGGCCACGTGTTCTGGAAGAGCCTCACAGCAAATCCCTGGTTTCAGCGGGCAAAGATGCCGTTGGCCCTGGTATGGCAGGTCTGGGCGTGTGCAACAGATGGGGAAGGTTTTTGAAGAATAAGGAAATGGGGCTGGACTTAGACATGGGTCAGATAGAGTATCACGATAGTCCAGACTGCAGACGTCTCCTATCTTCATGCCTACATTTCCATCATGAATAATTCATTCCTTTGGCCCCAAATCCAAATGGCAATTATACTCGGGAGGGAGAAGTGCCTTAAGACCCCTTAGGGATGTAACTTCATCTCTGCTGAGGATTTGTCAGGTGCCAGGAGCAGAGCCCCCAGCCTTGGGACTCCCAGAAGGGGGATAGGGGAGAGGGTAGGGCCAAAAGGGAAATCTTCGAAGGATCCCAACTTCAAAAATCTTCAAAGGATCCCAATTCACAGACTAACCAAGGGTACGTGTTGCCCAGGCTGACTCTGGAATCTCCTCACTTGTCTGCTGGCTCACTCCCTTAGAAACCGGGGCAGGGGGGAGCCTGGTGAGGCCAGATGGGTCCAACTTGTTCAGATTAGGTCCTGGCCAGGGCGGCTGGGCTGTAAGTGAGGTTCAGTGGGCACTTGGGTCAGGATGGCTTTGAGGATGGATTCTGAGAATCTGCTACACAGGAGTAGGTTTGAAGTCCCTAGCTCTGGGACCTGTAGGGAAATCCCAACTGAACTACATCCTCTGTGTTAGACATTTCTGTACCCTGCCCCACCCTTCCGCCTACCCATTACATGCAAAGTCACCACACAACTCCCAGCAGCCAGCACCTGCCTCCGGGGGGCTTCCTCTGGCCTCTGGTGTCCACTCTGCCCGTGCATGTGGCCGGGTGCAAGTGCCGGGGACCTAGCATCACCGCCACCCTCTCCACTGGATGGATGGTGCCCTGAGGTGTGTGGGCTGCACTGGCTCCCTGAGCCCCCGGCAGGGTTAGGCCCCAGCTGCCCTTGGGGGTAACTTGCCTCTAGACACTCTCTATTGGTGGCTCTCCCCAACCCCCTGAATTTTCCCTTACTGGTGTTTCCTGGGATCATTTTCCAAAAGAACTACTTACATTTGAATCCTTATCTCAGAGTCCATTGCCAGGGGAACCTATGCTTCAGGAAAGCCTGAATGTTCTGTTCTTTTCTCCTCTCCCCAAATCAGGACTTTTCTGGATACAGATACCCCGTGGCAACCTTTCAGCCCAGTGGCCCTGAGTACCTGGATATCTTGGTCCTCTGTCCCCAAAAGGAACTGACCAGAAGGGTCAGGCCAAGCCCTGGAGTCAGGACCCCAGTCATTTTCCAGGCAGGATATGAGAAGAACAGTGCTGAGGAGGAGAAGGAGGATGAGGAGGACACAGATGACTGTGCCAGCTTCCAGCCCTACCTGGAACCACCCCCCTTCCTAGTGCAGGAGCACCAGATCCCAAGGCATTCTGAGGCAGGCAGCACCTGGAGTGCTTCCGTCCAGGTCGAAGACTCCTCTGCTACAGATGCTTCAGACAGAAGCTGGGCCAGCACTGGGGGCTCTTCCCCCTGGGATGAGCCTGGGTCCTCTTGCTATTTGGCCAAGAAGACACCGGGCCAAGGGCCAAGTGGGGATGGGTGTCAGGAGCCTCTCTCTCTACCCGAATTCTCCAACGACATGAGTTTCCTGGAAGATCCCCTGAAAGATGACCTCTCCTTCTGGGCCAACTGGGGCTTTTCATCACCAGGGCTGAATATAGTCTCTGGGGAGCCCCCAGTTTCTCTTCACACACTGACCTTTTGCTGGGACAGCTGCCCTGAAGAGGAAGAGGAGGAGGAAGAAATAGAAGGAGGAAGAGAGCAATCAAAAGTTGAGGATGACAGTACTGGCAATTGGGGTGCCAGGAGCCTACAGAAGAGTGAGGTCAGAGGTGAGACACTGGGGCATTACATGGCCAGGTGAGCTGTTCCCCAGCTTCCCTCCAAGTCTGGTGCCACTGAGCTTTCCTAGGACCCAAGACACCACCAAGACGAGAGCCTGGAAGCATATCACTGAGGCTGAGGAAAGTTCTTGCAGCATTTCAGAAACCCCAGGGTTGTTGTCAATTGGCTTGAGCAGTAAGAAACCACCCCATCCTTTTTTGACTCACCGGCTCTGGGCTGAGCTCCAAGAAGGGTGGAGACAAGAATAAGCTGAAGACGGAGGTTGATTGGGTGTCGCAACCACCCTACTGCCTTCGGGGTGGCAGGCCAGTTAGAAAAATCATCCCTGGACAACATGTAACAGGTGAAGTCAGGTCACGGTGGACACCAAGGGCTAACCCCACGAGGGGCCACCTGGATCTGGGGGGAGGAAGTATCAACTCCATCAGCGTCAGGCCTCTCTAGCATCTGCTGAGCACCCTCCCCCAGGTCTCGGCCTTCTGGTTCATGAGTCCTCCAGGGTGCGCCCCAGTGAAGACAAATCTAGTAAGCAGAGGATGTTGAAGAGGAAGGGAAAGGGTAGTCATCATCCAAATCCCAGCCTCTGACTCACGGAATTACATCACTTTTATTATCAGACGACCTGGGTTCAAATCCCAGCTCTGCCATTGACCAGTCATGTGACTTTGAGTAAGCCACCTTCCTTCACTGCACCTGGGCTTTCTCACCTGCAGTAGAGGATCCCAAAAGAGAGGTGTGTAGCATGGTGTGTGTCACATCACTGGGACTCTCCGCGTGATGGCTGGTAGGGCTCTCCATCCTCCCAGGCTCTGAGAAGACTGCTGGGCATCTCCCACCTGTGACCCCTAAGCTCTGAGTGATCTGCATTTGCCTTTCAGTTGGCCTCACCCCTCATCTACCTCTTGCCTTCTACCCTCACTTCCTCTCTCCTCCTGGTTGGGAAACTGCACTCTCAGAAGCCAGAGCCCAGCCAAGAGGGACCCTGACCTCTCTCCCCTTTCCAAAAAAAGAAGGAACCAGGTGATCCACCTTCCAGCGGTCAGATTTGTTAGGGTCTGGGGTAGCAACCTGGCAGGGAATTAGACTCCTGGGCCTGTGATCCCTGTTTTAGACAGCACTTTAGACTCTTTGATTTTAAAGAAGTCCCATTTTCGCTTCTAGTTGTGAGAAGCCAATGCCTTCTGGCAGTAAGTATGTTAAAGGTGGGGGAGAAGCAGTAAAGTATCCCCCAAACTGAGAAGGCACTTTGTGACCGGAAAATGAAGCAGGCCCCTGCATACAGTTTACACAGAGTTTTATTCAGGGTAACTCATTGACGGGGGGATTGGCAGAGGATAATCCATGCAGCGCCATAGTTACTCTCTGCAAAATCCAGGGCCTCAATCCAGAGGTTTAATAGAGCCAGGGACACACAGAAGGGCATTGTAGTGAGATCAGAGAGCTCACACACACCTCAGAGGACTTGAGTGCACCTTGTTGACCCCTAACCTTTCATTACCCCACCTGTGCAGCAGGAATGGGAAAGAGTATGTTATCTCTAAGAGTTTCATGGGAGGCCAAAACAAGCCTTCCCCCATCCCAGCCCTGGTGGGCATTTCTAAGGTATATATATTGATCTCCAAGGGCCCAAAACACATGGCCCTAAGGTCATGGAGCGAACATGAACAAGATGGAGGGCCAAAGATGGAGTTGGTATTGTCAGTGCTCCTACAAGGTGACTCTCCTTACCTGGGGGGTGGTGATGGGTGTTCTCAAACAACTGCTTTGTTAACCTATACCCACCAGTGTACGGGCAAGCAGAGCTGAGTTTTAACCCATAGGGGCTGAGATTCTTGTCCTTTTGTGGCTGGGATCTGAACAATCAGGTTCTGGGACCTGGGCCCTGCCATTTTAATTGCCAGGACTTATATTTCTCCATTTGTGAAGAGAGCATTTTTGTAGCCATTTCCCCAGAAAGCTGTGTTGTTTTGAAGGCAACATGAAGATATACCATTAGTTGAAAGATCTGGAACAGGGTTACTGCTCCAGGGGTTCTCAAGCCGTGTCCCCAAACAGTCTGGGATTTCACAGAGTAAGCCTCAATTACAGGGGGAAGCGTGGGCTGTAGGATCCCCCACTTCAACCAGAATGGCCTCCCTGAGCCCTGATGCTTCCCATGACCTTCCATGTGAGGCTGTGCTTAGGAGGCTCCACTGCTAAAGACGTTAGCAAACCATGTTTTTAAATTAAATACCTGTCTTTTCGTTTCGAACAAAGAAATATTGACTCCCTATATATGTTGCTATGGAGGAGATCCTTGGTCTCCAGCCAGCTGAGCCAACCCCTGTGTCCATGGCCATGTCAACACAGTGCCGAGGTCTCCGGTAGGATTGCCAAGGAGCACAAAGCTGGCAGGAGGCCTTCAGCCCTGCTGGGACCCACGCATCCATGCATGGGCACACGTACACACGTGCATTTCCACAGGAGCTGAGGCCTGTCTACATCCCTAAGCACAGAGGAGCAAAAACAGTGAACACTGAAGCCTGGCGTGGGGGAAGCCTATGGCTCAGGCCAGTTCCCGGGAAAATACCCAGACCCACACTGAGGTTCTCTCTGGGACCAGCTGAACTGCTTCAGGGAAGTAATTTTGAAAAATGAAAAGCTATAGTCACAATTGTCTAGGCCTACATGAAGGAACCCCTTTATCTCTTTTCTAAAACCTTGTTTTGTTTTGTTTTGTTTTTTTAAGCCTGGTTCTTTTTTATAAGCATTATTTTCAAAGTTTTCATTACTGAAAGAGGCTGAGCTCTTTTAGTAATCCTCAATGCCAGCTCTTTGATCATCATTAAGTCATTAATAAAAAGCCAGGGAAGCATTAGGAAAGAGCATGATATTCAATATAATAATTTGTCAGGCGAGCTCAGCACCTGTTTACAGAACCCTCTTACGCACACGGCGGCCGGTGGAGAAGTGCGCAGCATGAGCTCCAGGGCCAGCTTGAAGGATGTGAGGGTGATGCCCTGAGCTAAGGAATTAGCCCACTGAGACTATGCATTGTTCTTAGGCACTTGCTTCCATTTCTAATTTTGTTCTATATTGATATTATATTTAAATAATTTTCTAATGATCTTGGATATCTACCCTAAATCGTTCTAAATAAAAAGCTCTATTTTTGGAGAAAACAGGATTGCATGGAAGTGTGTGCACTCTTATTTCTTAAAGGCTCCTCACCATTCATCCAGCTGTTAGACCACAAGGATTTTGGGTTGGGTGCCTAGCAGCAGACCCAGAAATGGGGACTTGGGGATATAAAGCAGTGCTGTGATCCCAGAAAGCACCAACAGGGGAGTGGGAAGCCAGGCAGGAAGGGAAGGCAGCCTGTCCAGGTACATAATCAAACATGTCACTGCTCTGGGGCTCAGTCCCCCTGGAGGCTCAGCACATGGGACTCTCCAGACTTGTTCTGCCGAGAGCAGGAGCTGGGGAATGTATCCACCAACCCTGTCAACCTGTGCAGAGGACCACTCTCCCCTGCGAGTCATAGATCTGTGCAGTTGGAATCCATCAAGCTGAGTACATGAGAAAGAAGAGTGCCATGGGTGGGGGGGGGCACCCCTGTCACCAGCTACAGTAAGGCCCAAGCTGTGCTCACTACCCTGACATCTCACCCTATTGCAACAATGGTCTGGAAAAGGATACACAGCATCCTCTGTGGCTGGCCTTGCAAACCCAAACCCATGCCGGTAGACCTCTGCAGACAAGTAGCTCCCAGCTTCCAGTGATTCATTCTCCCAGGATCACCTGGTAACTCACCAGCACGGTGCCTGCTGTCATCATTACTGGGACCAGGGCAGGTGCTAGACTCAAGATGAGCTGACCCAACAGTCCCTTTCTGTGGAATTCAGAAGTCTTAGCTGCCTGGGCCTAGAACAAGGATGTTCTAACCTGCTGTGGCCCCATTTCCCTCACCAAGGAGCAGGAGGGCACAGCGTGCAGAAGAAACAAGAATGAGGCAGCCAGGTGAGCTGCCCTGATGAGAAGTGATAAATCTTGGCTCCTGTCCTTTCCTGAGGCCCAGCTGCAGCCCTGCCCCCGGCTTCCCAGCATCGTAGTTTTAAATCATCTTCCCGGGCTGCCTTGTTTCTTGTAATCAAATATCCTCACCGATTCACAAAGAGACTGTGCACATTACAGCTTGTGGTCACTTTGGAGCATCTGACCCTTGAATGGATGTGCAGTAGGTCCTTTCCAGAAAGCAGGGCAGTTTCATCTCCAAGAGATCCCAATCACCTCCCACCCTGCCCTCTGATGCCGGGTTGCCTTTGGAGCGTCTCTTGGCCTGTTTGCTGCCCACCTTCTGGACAGTGGAGGGTTGGCAGGGCTGCTAGATTGCACAGGTCCTTGGAGCTGGGAGAGGGCAGGTTAGGGTGCTCTGTTGCATCTGAGAACTCCTTTAGGGAAGGGAGTGTTTTCCTCCTGGCACCAGCACCTGGTGGTGCTGGCAGAGGATGGAAAGCTTGATATTAGATAAATTAATGAAGGAATGAACAAGTGAACTGTTCATTCACAATGAACAATTGTGGCAGAGGGTGGAAGCTTGATATTAGATAAATTAATGAAGGAATGAACAAGTGAATTGATCTAGGAACTGGAGTTCATGAGGGGCTGGCTATGGCTGAGTCATATATAAGGCAGCCAGAGATCTTGCATTAGATGGCACCATCCCAAGTCCCAAATTCCTGTCACAAGTGAATGATGGTCTTTCCTCAGCCTGAGGGGGGGGGGGGAATTTGTGCCACTCAGTGAGTGAAATGGCATGGAACGGGTCAGAAGTGGGAGACAAGACAGTACCTTCACTCCCTGACCATAACTTCTGCTTTCCCATCAGTTAGGACTTAGGACTTGATCGATGGCTATTTGCTTCTAGCTTCTTTGAGCTCATTCGTTGTGTATACAAAGTGAGACTAACGTGATGAGAGTTTCTGGGTTAAAAAAAAAAAAAGGCCAGAGACTATATCTAAATGAATGAGTCAGTTCCATGAGTTCATTACTCAAGAGATACTGGTTGGCCCCAGGACCCATTCCAGGACATGCAGCCCCACCCCTTGGCACATGATGGTATGGAATGCAGAGGTTCAACAGCTTTTTATAAATTATCAAGAGTTTTTTCCCCTGACTGCCTCTCTAAGTGGGTTAGGAGGAGAAGGTAAGAATCTCAAGGTAAGAGTACATCCTGTCTTGGTGAGAAAAAAACATCAGCAGGTGTTGGGAGGCCCCGCTCCAGGTATCCCATGCCTCCAAGATGAGTCCCATCCATTCTTGCAAAGCATATCCCACCCCACGGTAAGCCTCAGCTTCTCTGGGCACTATGTAGACATCTCAGCAGCCAGATTCCAATAGGGGCTCAGATTCCCTGCGCCCTAATTCCTATCTCTGAGCTCCAGGCCCTGTTGTGGAATGCGCCCCCTCCAAATAACTTGAATCCAGCCACCATGCTTAATCTGTATGATGCAATGCCCTCACTTCTATCCCTTGGAATTTGGCTTCAGAAACTACAGGAAAAGCAAAAAAAAAAAAAAAAACTACAGGCAACTGAGACTTCTTTTTTTTTTTAATTTACTTATGATAGTCACAGAGAGAGAGAGAGGCAGAGACACAGGCAGAGGGAGAAGCAGGCTCCATGCACCGGGAGCCCAATGCGGAATTCGATCCTGGGTCTCCAGGATCGCGCCCTGGGCCAAAGGCAGGCGCCAAACCACTGCACCACCCAGGGATCCCCAACTCAGACTTCTTAAGAGAACATTTATCACTTCCACCATCTCCACACCCAGACACCCAGGAGTCTGAGTTTTTGGCAAAGGTTTTTAAAAGACCTCCTTGGTCTTTGGTTCCTCGTTTTGTAACAGGAAACTCCCCTAGAGCTTCTCCTCAGAAACTGTCTAGAGACCTAGGTATGTTTAATCCTCCCAACAACACTGAGAAGATTCTCACTTTCCTTTTGCTGATGAGAAAGCTGAGGGTCAGAGATTAAGTAAGCCACCTGCACACCTCAGGTTCAGGGGCAGAGCTGGGATTTGAACCTGGGTCTGTCTCCCCAAAGCCCACATTCTGTTCACTTCCTGGTTCCCAGGTCACATATGAAACTGAACCCCCCAACTCTAGCACAAGACACAGATCTCCTTAATGTTTTTGTGAAGAAGCATGGTCTTCTAAGCATGTAAGAAGCTTCAGGAATTCTTTACCCTGAGAGAGAACTGAAATTATAAGTCAGAGTCAATAAACGCTGAGCTGCACTGTGCTTGTGTCACTGATCGTAGCCAGGAAGGGAATTCTGGGAAGTCAGGGGAGGTTTCCAGCCCCAGAGTGACACAGAAGCGGAGACTGCTCTAACTCCAAGGCCCTTAGAGGTCTTCTAGACCAAGCCTCTTTTACAAACAGAGAAACAGGCCCGGAAAGGAGACAAGACTCACCAAGGTCACCTGGAGTCAGGTGCAAGTTTGGGTCCAGACCCAGGCTCCCAACCCAGAACACTAAAGTTAGTGTCCCTGACTGACAGCCCAGGCTTAGAGCCAGGTTTTCCAAAGTGAGTCTGATTCTCAGTCTCTTCTCTAAGAATAGGCTTGGGGGTGAGTTGCCGGGGCTTGGTTCCTTGTCCATGAATGATCAGGGGCCCCTTTCAGGCTCTCTCACTGCTGAGTTATCAACCAAAGGGACTCACTCTCCCCTACCCCAGCACACACCCCACTGCCTTCTGGTGTTCTTGCTTCTGTAAAACAGGTTGTGGCATCCCTGGGTGTTGAAAGAAGGCACAGAAGCAGGTCACATTCCTGAGTATTTGTCATTTTAGGATGTGCTTTTTTTCCTACAGCTTAGGGTTTCTTCTCCGCTCCCCCCCACACACACCAATATTGAAGCCCTGGCCAGCTCCCCCCAGCAGACTCAACCATTCGGCAAATATTACCGGGTACTTGCTCTCTTCCAGATCATGGTAGATGCTGAGATATCAGGGAGACCAAATTACACCTTTTGGCCCCTTAGTCAGTAGCAGAGGGGAACAGACCCAGTGGGTGAGATTCAGGAGGCCAGGGGAGCACAGAACTGGGGCTTCTGACCAAGCCTAGATAGAGGCTCACACAAGGAAAGCTTCCTAGAGGAAGTGAGCTTGAGAAGAGGTCTGAAGAATGAACAGGAATTAGATAGGAAAAAGGGGATGGAAAGGGGATAGAAAGTTTGGACAAAGGCTCACAGTCAAGATGATGCAAGGTGCTTTGGAGAAATTTATCAGAAAGCAAACAAATGCATCTTTCTGGCAATCTAAACCAGAGAGACTCAGCAGGGGGAGTCTGCAGCTATATAAGTCAATTCAACGTTGGATAGTTGCCCTATATTCAGCCACCAGCAGGGTATGGAGAAATACAAGGGGTGCTCTTTGCACTCAGAATGTTTTCTCTCTCCCTGGGGAGACAAGAACCTTTGAATTTTAAAGACCAGAGAATGGAGTTATTATGGAACATCTAGCAGTGGTCACAGCCATTTTCTGGGCACCCCCAGCAACCAAGAGCAACCCATCCTAAAGTCAACCACACTATCATACTGAGAGCTATTTCCTTAAATCAAAAGAATTTGCCTCCTTAATATGTGTCCCCACTGCCCCCTGTTTTTTCTCCATGCAACAGGTTAGGGTTAGGGTTGGGGTTAGGGTTTTTCAAAGATGGTGCTCCACCTTGCCTCACCTTGCCCTCTCCCGAGTCTGTCCCTTCTAGTCTTAAACAGGAGCACACCTGAATAATAATACTGGATAATGCCAATGTCAGAATCAGAGCCCTAGAAGGATCTTTATTTATTTATTTTTTCTTTATTTTTTTTTCCTAGAAGCATCTTTAAAGTGAACCTGTGATGAGCTGAAGTTGTTATGAGCATCTTGCAGGACAGGAAATCATTTCAGAGGGCTTTGAAGAAGTCTGGAGAAGGGAGAGGAAATGGAATTGCAGGAGGTCGGTACAGCCTTGACAAAGGCACCTCCTTACTGCCTTTTTGTTTTGTTCAGTACCTTGCTTTTCCTTAATATAAAATAATGTTTTGCCTATAAGAACTTTAGAAAATGCAGATGAGCAAAGGAAAGAAAGTAAAAACCACCTATAATTCTACTACCACCCAGAGATAATTCCATTGATATTTTCACATTATAATCATATCATTTAAGACTTTTCCTTCTATATGCGTATGTAGATTTTTTAAAAGATTTTATTTATTTATTTGAGAGAGAGAGAGAGAGCATGAGCAGGAGAAGTGGGAGGGGCAGAGGGAGAGGGAGAAGTAGGCTTCCCGCTGAGCAGGGAGCCCATCTCGGGGCTCCATCCCAGGACCCCAGGATCATGACCTGAGCCAAAGGCAGACGCTTAATCAACTGAGTCACCCAGGCGCCCCCATATGTATGTGTGTTTTAACCAGACTTGGACTATACATAGTATATGTCATGCTTCTTCTCATTTGACATAATATGGGGGATCTTTAGCTGCCAAATATTTTCTCCAGCACATTCAAATGCAAGGCTGTGCTCATCTTGCATTGGGTAGACATACCATTATTCAGTTAGCCAACCCTCTATTGTTAGACACGGAGGCTCTTCCTTTTTTTTTTTTTTTTCCTATTTACTATTAGAAATGAAGTCTGAATGTTCCCACATTCCTATAGTTTTCTGAAATTACATGACTGGCACAAGCCATACCCTAATTCCCCCAAAGCACAGCTCCGTTTTGGTTGTTTGGTCAAACAAACTTCACCAAAGACTCAAAGCTGATAGAAAGAAAACAATTACAACACAGAAAAGAAAAACTGAAATGCAGATTGCTGGATATCACAGTCTACTACATCCAAACACCATAGGCTTCTGGATGCATCTATAGGCTGCTTAGGGACCAGTTCTGCATGGATCTCAGCCTGCTGCTGTGTGGCAGGAGCCAGCCAAACTCTTCCCAGGGGCACAGATCTCGGATCATGTCCGACCTAACCAGAGTCCAGGCCCTTTCAACCTCCCTGAGGCCCAGTAAGAAGGAGAAAATCATTTCCTAACCACCCGTCCCAGTGAACTTCCCATTAATCCCTGTGGATACAGCTCTAGATGGCAGAAATAACTGCTTGGGTCAGCAGTATGAATTGTCATTGTCCCAAACCAAAGACCAGTTCAGGAGTTTTGCCCCCATCTCTAGCACAGCAGAATCACTGAAGTTTTTTTTTTTTTTATTATTATTATTTATTTATGATAGGCACACAGTGAGAGAGAGAGAGGCAGAGACACAGGCAGAGGGAGAAGCAGGCTCCATGCACCAGGAGCCCGACGTGGGATTCGATCCCGGGTCCCCAGGATCGCGCCCTGGGCCAAAGGCAGGCGCCAAACCGCTGCGCCACCCAGGGATCCCAGAATCACTGAAGTTTGATACCTGTTTTTGGTTTTGTTTTTTTTTTTCCTAACCTTTTGAAAGTCCCAGACCCCCAAGGCTCAAGATAAGAATACCTGGGCTTTTCACTTCCAACAACCTCTCTAGAAGGAAAGCTATCCCCAAGGCCTTCATCCCACATAGAGAACCTGCTTTGATATGAGGCACCAGAGGAGCAGCAAACACCCTACATCTCTTCCTGCCAGAACAAAGCCAGCAAGTCACAGCTCTTCCTTTGCCACAAGGAACATTCTGGAACATATTTTCTGCTCCCTTGTCTGCCCCAGTTCTTATCCTCTGGACAAATTCCTGATGATAAAATTATAGGGACAAAAGACACATGCATCTGGAAGGTTTTTGAAACACAACGTCAAATTTTTGCCTTTTTCTGCCTCTGAGCTTTCTGATAAAGCACGGAAGAGCCTTGGGTTGAATCAGCCGCCAGACCTGACAAACAAGCTGGCCTGTCACTGTTACTGTTCTCTGCAAGTAGGAGGGGAACTCCCTTGGATCCTGCCCAGGACTTGGAATTCCGAAGCACACTCACCAGACACCTTTGCACCTGGCTCCCCCTGCTCAGGCCCCACCCTCCCCTCCGTCCCGCCCCCAGGCCGGGTGGAGCCCCGCCGCTGCCTGCCGGGCCGCACAGCTTCCCAGCCCCTCCATCTGTGCTCAGCCCCGGGGAGGACAGAAGGGGGCTCGGAGCCCGGCCCCATGAGGACGCTACTGACCATCCTGGCGGTGGGATCCCTGGCCGGTGAGTGCCCGTTGCCCTGTGGTTAGACTCCCCCCCAACACCCAGGACAGTTGATCAGGGTTACACACACACACACACACACTCACACACACACACACACACACACACACTCACAGCTAGCCTCAGGATGGCCAGTTTCATTTTCTTCCCCACCAGGGCTGCACTGGGTGACAAGTTTCCCTGGAGAACTGGGGAATACCTCAGGGTATTGGGGAGAATGAGCAGGTCCCTCAGACCCTGGGCTCTTCCAGAGACTCAACCAACCTCAAGAGCCAGGATTGCAGCCAACTGTCTGAACTGGGTTCTAGATGCCCTCACCTCAGTGGATGGAGGATTGGCTTGAGGGAGGCAGACCCCTTGAATAATTGTGATAGTTGTACCATCCCTCCCTCTGCTTCTGGCTGACAACCGGCCCAACAAGGAGAGATGGGGGGAGGATAGATGGACAGAACTTGAGTGCGGCCATCGTCTCTCTCCGTAACCCGCTGGGGGCCTCTCCTGACCCCTCACGCTAGATCTAAAAGAGCATTAATTGGGGCATCTGGGTGGCTCAGTCAGTTAAAGCGTCTGCCTTCAGCTCAGGTCATGATCCCAGGGTCCTGGGATAGAGCCCCCATATCGGGCTCCCTGCTCAGTGGGGAGTCTGCTTCTCCCTCTGCCCCTCCTCCCTGCTTGTGCTCCCTCCCAATACATAAATAAAATCTTTAAAATAAATGAATATAAGAGCATTTACTCTAGAAAACAAACTGAGGGTCCCTAGAAGGGAGATGGGTGGGGGGATGGGTAACTGGGTGATGGGCACGAAGGAGGGCACTTGATGGAATGAGGACTGGATGTTGTACGCAACTGATGAATCACTATATTCTACCTCTGAAATTAATAATACAATATATGGTTATTAAATAGAATTTAAATCTAAAAATTTTAAATAAAATAAAAGAGCACTTTTTCCAAGAACAGCCAGGTCTGCTACAGTAACAGGTCTTAAAACACCAGGACCCTTTTAAAACTGAACTAAAGGGCACAGTTTTCAAATCCAATAAAATGGATTTCTTGATTTATCATTATAGAGAACTTTGAGACAAATACGTGAGATTCCAGATTGTCTCTATGCTCCCCAATATGTTTAATAAAATTCAGGGAACTTTCTCAGGAAGTGAACACATAGTCCAGACTAAGAGCAGGGAGGGATGGCCTCTGCAAGGCCCCTTCTAGCTCAAGTGCAGGATGAAGCCCATAAAGAGCTGGAGCTTCCCAGCCCCCTCTCCTGTGGTCCCCTGCTTAGGCCGGCAGGATCCACAGTGCTTCCAGCTGCCACCTGGGCCCTTCCAGTCTGCCCACCTCCGGCATCAAGCTGGGCCTTCCCAACACCCTGGGTCCTTGATGAGTGAGGAAGACTTGCTGCTTCCCCCAAAGACTCCATTCTGGTTGGAAGTCTTAGAGGCTCTTGACCCTTTCAGATGGGGACCAAGGAGAAACAGCCTTAAGAGCTGTTAAGAGCTGGGAAGGTTCTCTGGTCACTAGGTCTCCTCTGCCCCAGCATTCTTAGGCTGAATCCAGAATATTCTGGATTATCCTTGTTTGTTTGCTTTTCCTTAGCTTCCCGAGTTGTTGACATAAAATTGTTTTTCCAAATAAATGTGAAAACTTCCTTTCATGGAGGCTACCAGTCTGTCAGTTTCTAGACAACACATGTGTTCCCAGGATTTCACAATGTAGACTTTCACCCAGGAAGTGCAGAAACAACCACAGGCTGAGGAACGCATGATGGCTTTGAGGGGGAAAAGAAATGAGCAGGGCAGGAGAGGGAGAGATTTTTTTTTTTAAGATTTTATTTATTTATTTTAGAGAGAGATAAGGAGAGAGCCCAAGTGCAGGGGGTGCAGAGGACAGAGGCAGAGGAAAAAAGAGAATCCCAAGCAGATTCTGCACTGAGCACTGAGCCCAACGCAGGACTCGATCCCAGGACCCTGAGATCATGACCTGAGCTGAAATCAAGAGTCAGACGCTTAACCAACTGAGCCACCCAGGTGCCCCGAGGGAGAGATCTTGTTAGTCCTCAATACCCCCTCACAGAAGAGTCCAGCCAAGGTCTACCCACCCTATTTCCAGACCCCAACTTCAATTCCCTCCTGGAAAATGGTGCCAACCTCCTCCCAACCTGGGCCCCTTACCTCCTGAGCAAGTCCCAGCCTCAGCCACCAGGCTCCCTTCACCCCAACTAGCCTATCAGGATACTGACCCCAATGAGCAACCTTCCCAATGCAGCCCCTAACCCACCATTAGGGGTAATTAAGCTCAGCCTCAGATAGATGCTGGCCTTCTCTCAAATCCCACTTCTCCCTCTTTCTTCTGCTGTAATTTTATCTTCCCACCAGAAGCCACCCTTCAGTTCCAACTTCAAGTGGACTCTCTCCCTTATCTTAAGACCCAGCCCTGAATCCAGGACCGCTCCCTCCAAAACAGACCCCAATTCTGCCCAGACTCAAATCCAAACAGATGTCAGCCACTCCTCGGGGCTCAGTAGCATAGCTATCACATTGGCTGAAGGCAGTAAGACATGTCTCCCCCACCCCCCAAGTCCCCTAGGCCCTGTTCTGGGAGCTCCAGGAAGCCTGCGACACAGATTTCTATAGCTGTTGGGACTGACCAACTCAGATTCAAAGAGAATGTGACCTTAGATTTAGCCAGTGGATGCACAGCAGGGTCAGGCTGTCCAGATACTCTTCCCCATGCCCACAGGTGCCTCCTAAGCCCATGGACCCCTCCTTTTTTTTTTTTTTTTTTTTTTACATTTTATTTATTTACATGAGAGCACACGCAGAGAGAGAGGCAGAGACATAGGCAGAGGGAGAGGCAGGAGGCAGGCTCCATGCAGGGAGCCCAATGTGGGACTCGATCCCGAGACTCCAGGATCACGCCCTGAGCCAAAGGCAGACACTCAACCGCTAAGCCACCCAGGTGTCCCCTATGGACCCCTCTTGCAAAAATATTGTATGTAGACTTGGAGTGGGGAGTAAATAACCATCCACTCCCTTACACTTTAGGCCCGTTGGTGGTCATGGCCATGGCCAGGGTGGGGCGAGACACACATAGATCAAAGACACATATGCACGCAGGGCCCCAAGACCTTGATATGACTGGGTCCGCACCTGTTTATTTCCCACGCCAGCCAACCAGGCCCTTCTTAGCATGCTCAGAGCCAGCTGGCAGCTCTGGCTGCCATATTCCTGCAACCTCTTCCTTTCCACAGACCAAGCTGGGAGGACCTAGAGCAGAGTTTTGTAAGTGAAAGCTCTTGTTTATAGTTCAAGATTGCATCAGGGGTGTAGACCCTCCCTGGTCCTCTTCTTGGGACTCAGGCCTTATGTCCCCTCTCCCACGACCAGTCTAGCACTACGATGAGTACTTGTCACGTACTCACTGAGACACTGGGCAGATAAACCTCCCTGGGCCTCAGCTCCTCTTATCCCTAAAATGGGGGTAATGAGAGTAACTGCCTCCTCAGGTTGTCGGGAGGGTTAGTGAAGAGACTTAGCCTAGTGCCTGGGACTTGGAGCGCTTTTCAGTTGCTGCTCTTGTCATTAGTATTTGCCTTCAGTAAGTCAAATTATTCCCATCTTAGAGATGAAGAAAACAGGTTCCCCAGGGTGGCCCTGCCCATACATGGCCTCCATCAGCCTCCCTCCCCTGGTGAGGTCTGTGTGGCTGTAGAAGGTGCTTTGCCAAAAAAATAAAAAATAAATAAAAAAGATAAATTAATTAAAATAAAATAAAATATAAAATAAAATAAAATAAAATAAATAATAAAATAAATAAATAATAAAATAAAATAAAATAAAATAAAATAAAATAAAATAAAATAAAATAAAAAAGAAGATGCTTTGCCTTCTCCCTGTGCTGGGTGGGCAGGGACTGGTTCAGCCAACAGAGAGGCAGGAGCTCACAAACGTCTTCTCCAGCCTTGTTTGGAATTCCTGACTTTGGGGAAGTTACTCTTGGATGTTTTAGTTGAATAGTCAACGTGGAGTTGAGCTCTCTCCAATATCCAGGGAGAATGCCAACTTCAGGTGCGTTCAGATGTGAAGGAGAGACAGTAAGTATTGGCAGGAGCGTGGAATACGTAGCACGCACACACTGCTGGTGGCGACGTGAGATGATGCGGCCCCTTTGGAAGACAGTTTGGCACACAGATTGGCAGTTCCTCAGAAAGTCCAACAGAATTACCAGATGACCCAGCAATTCCACTCCTAGCTCTATACCCCGACAGAACTGGAAACATAGGGCCACTTAAAAACTTGTACACAAATGTTCACGGCAGCGTTGTTCACCATCGCCAAAAAAGTAGAAACAACCCAAATGTCCATCTACTGAACTGATAAGCGAAAGCCATACAGTGGTATATTTTTCAGCCATAAAAAGGAAGTCAGTACTGATGCATGCTATGACATGAAGAAATCTTGACAATGTTATGCTAAGTGAAAGAAGCCAGACACAAAAGGCCGCATACGTAAGACTATTTATCTGAAAAGTCCAGAAAGAGCCATAGAGCCAGAAAGCAGATTAGTGGTTGCCTTCACGCTGGGGGAAGGAAGGGATAGAGAGGGACTCCTCATGGACATGGGGTTCCCTTTTAGGGTAATGACAATTCTCTGGACTTGGATAGTGGCCCTGGTTTCACAACTTCTGTGAATAAGTTCAGAAACCATTCAATTGCAGGCTTTCAAATAGTGAATTTTATGGGATGTGAATTATTGCTCCATTAAAAAAAATTAAAAAGAAGTGAAGGAGAATGGTGATGGTCAGTTGCAACATCTCTGGTGCATGGGTGCTGGTACTGCCCTCCTGGGACAACTTGTTGGAAGGCTGGGGGCAGGATCCTCGTGCCCATCTATCTGCTCACCCTGCTCCCGCTTCCTGCAGCTCACATTGCTGAGGACACCTCGGATCTTCTTCAGTACGTAAAATTCCAGTCCAGCAACTTCGAAAACATCCTGACGTGGGACAGTGGCCTGGAGAGCGCCCCAGACGTGGTCTACAGTGTTGAGTATAAAACGTAGGCTTTCTTCACCCCATGACCTCTCTGGACTCTGCTCTGAAACCAGCCCTTCTAAGAAAATCCCCCTCTATGTCCCCACGTCCCCACTGGGACTGAGGTGACACAGCCTGCCCCACCCCCTGCCAGATAGAGAGCTTTGCTCCTTTGTGGTCTCTTTTGCAACAGGAGGATAAAATAACAGCTAAAAGTACAGGCTCTTTGGGCAGCCCGGGTGGCTCAGCGGTTTAGCACCGCCTTCGGCCCAGGACATGATCCTGGAGTCCTGGGATCAAGTCCTACATCGGGCTCCCTGCATGGAGCCTGCTTCTCCCTCTGCCTGTGTCCCTGCCTCTCTCTCTCTCTCTCTCTCTCTCTCTCTGTGTGTGTGTGTGTGTGTGTGTGTCTCATTAATAAATAAATAAAATCTGGGATCCCTGGGTGGCGCAGTGGTTTGGCGCCTGCCTTTGGCCCAGGGCGCGATCCTGGAGACCCCGGATTGAATCCCACGTCGGGCTCCCTGCATGGAGCCTGCTTCTCCCTCTGCCTGTGTCCCTGCCTCTTCCTCTTCCTCTCTCTCTCTCTCTCTCTCTCTCTCTCTCTCTCTCTCTCTGTCTCTCATTAATAAATAAATAAAATCTTTTAAAAAAATTAAAGTACAGGCTCTAGAGTCAGACTGCCCAAGCTGGGCTTTGGAACCTGGGACAATGGGGTAATCTTGCCAAGCCTCAGTTTCCCCACTCAGAAAGTAAGTCTAGCAAGGGAAACTTCATCATAGGATTCTTAGGTAGATTACACTAGAGAGTCATGAGCACCTGTGCCTCGCAAATAATAAAAGTGTTTTCTTATTATCAGGGAGGCTGGGTCCACAAAGAGTCGTGTCCACTCCCTTGAGCCTATGCCCCTGTTCTTGCTCATCTCCCTTCCTTCGCAGAGGAGGAGGTTGGCATGGGCTCAGGGGTCTGCAAACCTGGGTTGCCTCGCTGGTCCTGCCACTTCGTCCTGTGACAAGTCACTTCTGCTCTCTGAGCCTCACTTCCCTCATCTGTAAAATGGGGATAGCTGTGCCTTAAAGGCTTACGGTGACGATGAGCCCAGAATGCAAACTCAGACTGGCTGGGTCCCCAAATTCACGGTCCAGACAGCTGCCCAGATTTTACTTCTGTAAGCCTCAGCTTCCTTATTCAGAAAGGAGGGAGAATCATGTACGAACCTCATGGGATCGTTGTGAGAACGATCAACCACATAGGGGGCCCGGGACACAGAATGTTCTAAGTAAATATTAGATATCATTATCATTTTTAATAGACCGCAGGCCCGGTGCCAGGCCTGTTCATTAAAGATGTGCTCCGGCCCCTCCCATGCTTCCAGGTACGGAAAGAAAGAGTGGCTGGCAAAGGAGGGCTGCCAGAGGATCACCCGGAAATCCTGCAACCTGACCACGGAGACGGGCAACCACACGGAGCACTACTACGCCCGGGTAACTGCCGTCAGCGCGGGAGGCCGCTCAGCCACCAAGATGACCGACCGGTTCAGCTCGATGCAACAAAGTGAGTGGCCACCCCTCACTGCAGGGGAGAGGGGAAGCCCAGCAGGGCTCTGCATCCTGGGCAGGGGCCAGATAGAGATGTGGCTTTCAGGGAAGGTCACCCCAACCAGAGCATCTGCGTGCAGCTGGTCATCTTTCCTTAGTGGGCATCCCCCACTCTCGGCCCCAAAGGCCTCATGTCACTATGTCACCACAGTCGACTGTGCATTGTCCTCATAGTTCCTATCACCATCTGCAGTGATGGTGTCTGTCTGCCTGCCTGTACCCCACCTGCCTCCGTGTGGGGGTGCAGATCCCACATTCTCGGTCCTTCAAGTAGGGCCTGGCACCTGGGAGGTGCTCAATACATGACTGATGAGTAAGTGAACCTGACTTGCCAAACTCCCCACACAAGCTAAGCAGGTGGAGATGTTCACCAATGGACTTAACAGCCACGTGGTTTCCCAAGAAAAGAAAAACTAAAATTAAACAAGTTGCTTTCTTTTTCTTTTCTTGGTTTATCCAATTAATATGTGTTATCTTAGACAGTCTGGAAAATAGAGAAATGCACAAAGGAAAGTGAAAGTAGCCCAAAATTATCAGAATGCTTAAACTTAATCATAAAATTAATTGATTGATTGATTGATTGATTGATTGATTAAATCATAGTTACTAGTGACTGTCTCTACTCTTTTGTAACCTGGTTGGTGGGGTGTTTTTCATCTAATGCCACCAGGAACATTTGCCCGCGTCATTAAGTACTTTTGTACAACGTGACATTTTCTAGCTGCAAGATGATCTGTTCTGTGGAGGTGTTCTTAATTTATTCCCCCCGGTTCCCTTTTTGAGGACTTTTAACTCAGTTTTTCAATTTTATAAACAAAACTGAAGTGAACATTCTTCTAGCTCCAATGTTTTCAGTCTTGGAGGTCAATGGACCCTTGAGGGATTTTTAGAAGTTCACTTCAGAAGGAGTAGGGCTCATGAATCCCCAAAATTGAGTGCAACATTGTATATGCACATTTGGGAAGAGAAGATCCGTTAACATTCATCAAATTTCTGTAAACCAGTAAAGGTTATTAGGCTATTCAGAAAATTACATCTTGGGAAAGATTGAAGTCTCAGGCATGGTCTTTGGGGTCAAATCACTAACTTGGGGCGCCCCAAACACTGCTCACTTTATATAGTTGAACCCTCAGGCCCTGAAGCTGTCACTGCCAGTAGACTGGGAAAACAGGTGCTCTGGGCAGACTCCGGGTGGGGACTGTGGTGGCTGACACAAGGCATGGTTAATCGAGGAGGCCAGTACCCCTCTCTCCCTGGGTTCTGCCCACTGGCCCCTGGGTACCCCTTTGCCAGCCTTAAACCCAAACACCGGTTGCTTGCAGCACTTTTCTCACCTGTTTGTTTGGCTGCTGTTTTCAGAAGCATAACTGGGGTTGGGGTGGGAGAGAAGGGAAGCAGTCAGTCAAGTCCCCTGGGCCAGGGCAACCTCAGACACCCCTGACTGATTCCAGCCTTTTCTTTTTGTTTTTCTCGCTCCCTTTTCCAGCTACCATCAAACCACCCGATGTGACCTGTATTCCCAAGGTGAGATCCATCCAGATGATTGTCCATCCCACCTCCACACCTATCCACGCAGAGGATGGCCACCGGCTAACCCTGGAGGACATCTTCCAGGACCTATTCTACCGCTTAGAGCTCCAGGTCAACCACACCTACCAAATGGTAAATATATGTGTCTCCTTGGTTCGCTGCCTGGGAAACTCATTTCCCTGTCAATTAGATCTGCATTGCTTTAAGTAGAAAGGAGATGTTTTCTATAAATCAGCATTTTCCAAAACACAGCCTTCCCTCATGTAGACCACATAGACAGTAGCATGCTAAAATCTCTGATAAGTCCTGCAAAGCCAACACTCCAGTTTCAATTCATTGAATACAACTTCTCTCAAATTTTCAAATTTCTTTACCAGAGAAACTCTGTTTTGCATAATTTTTATTTTTATTTTTTTTACTAATGCCATATAATATCCTAGTAACCTCTACTAACATCTTCAGATGTCCACTTTGGAAAATGCTGAAATCTACTTCTACTGCTACAGTTCTTTTTGCTGGTTCTCCAGTATTGGCAGGAACTGGATCCAGTGTCTTAAGATCACTAAGGTGGGAAGCAAGGACATAAATGATCGAATGATTCACGAGGTATTTCTTTTATATCCAGAAAATGTGTTTTCTCCTTAGCATGTGCCATGAATCCATCATTCCATTGAATGACTATTCCCACACCCAAGACGTTTATAATCTAGTGAATGGTGAAGGAGCTAAAACAAGAATTCGAATAGCTATAGATAGAGGAAAAGAAGAGTATTGTGTGGGATGGAGTGGGGACAGAGAGGGAGGAGAAGAGATGGCTATTCAAAGAGTTCTGGAAAAACTTCCAGATCAGAACACTTTCTGGTGCCAAGTAATACATGCTTTTTATCATTTATTCCTCACCATAAACAAAACTGAAAAAAAAAAAACTGAAGTGAACATTCTTCTAGCTCCAATGTTTTCAATCTCAGAGGTCAATGGACCCTTGAGGGATTTTTAGAAGTTCGCCTCAGGGGGAGTAGGGCTCCTGTGAGGTGGGGGTTACCATCTCCATCTTCTGAATAAGAAAACAGAGCTTCAAAGAGGTTAAGGCACTTGTTCAAGATTATTCAGCCAATGACAGCATAGTCAAGATTCAGATCCAAAAAAAAAAAAAATTAAAAAAAAAAAGATTCAGATCCAGCTCTATTCACAGCCCACATTTTTCTCTCACTGCCCCCTCATGATCGGAGAGAGAAGCAGGAAAATGTAAAACCTTACTGCAAAAGCATTAAACTGCCCAATTCAACTGGATCATGGAGACATGCAGACCAGTTTCTCATGCGCAGCAGTTTCTCAAAACACCGTTCCAGGGCAGCCCCGGTGGCTCAGCGGTTTAACGCTGCCTGCAGCCCTGGGTGTCATCCTAGGGACCTGGGATCGAGTCCCACGTGAGGATTCCTGCATGGAGCCTACTTCTCCCTCTGCCTGTGTCTCTGCCTCTCTCTGAATGAATAAATAAATGAATCTTTAAAAAAAAAAAAAAACACAGTTCCAAACCAATGGCATCAGAATCTCCTGCAGGTTTTATTTAAAATGCAGGTTCCTGGGCCTTCTTCCAATCTACTTGATGCAATTCTGCAGGGGCACCTCTGGGATCTGAATTTTTAGTCAGCAACCCGAGTGCTTCTTACCCACCCTGAAGTTTGAGAACCACTGACATAGAAGGAGCCGTGGGAGGTAAACCTGGGAAGACAGGCTGGGAGGCAGAGAGCTGGGGTGGTGGCCAGAGGCAGTTCTGCTTATTTTAGTAGTCAGGGGAGAAATTAGAGGTTACTGAGCAGGGAACGTCCTTATCGTACCATCTGTTAGTAAATATTTGGGCCTTAGTTAATTTATTTACAACTAAATTTGGTTTGTGGGGATCCCTGGGTGGCGCAGCGGTTTGGCGCCTGCCTTTGGCCCAGGGCGTGATCCTGGAGACCCGGGATCGAATCCCACATCGGGCTCCCGGTGCATGGAGCCTGCTTCTCCCTCTGCCTGTGTCTCTGCCTCTCTCTCTCTCTCTCTCTCTCTCTCTCTCTCTGTGACTATCATAAATAAATAAAAATTTAAAAAATAAATAAATAAATTTGGTTTGTGGTCAGAGAACATACTCGGTATGAATGCAGTTCTTTTAAATTTGTGGTTCCGCATATGGCCCATCTTGGTGAGTCCTCCATGTGCACTCAAAAAGAGTGTATCTTGCAGTTGTTTGGTGGAGCACTCTATAAATATCAGTTGGATAACGGTGGCTAATCATGTTACTCAGATCTTCTGTCTTTCCTGCTTTGGGGAAGATCTATCATTCTTTTAATTCCTGAGAATATGAAAATCTCCAACTATGACTGTGGATATAGACTGTGTCTATTTTCCCCTCTAATTCTGGGCAGATTTGCTTCATGCATTTTGAAACTCTGTTATCAAACACATACACACTTATGATTGTTACAGGCTCCTGATAAATTGACCCTTTTATCATTAGTAAATGTCCTTTTTTCTCCAGTATTATTTTCTGTATTGAAGTGTACTTTGCCTATTATTCATATAGCCACACCAGCCTTACACTTACGGTCTGCCTGGTATATCTTTTTTTTTTTTTTTTTAGATTTTATTGATTGATTGAGAGAGAGAGAGAGAGAGAGAGAGACCGCATGCAAGCAGGTGTGGGGCAGAGGGAGAAGCAGACTTCCCACTGAGTAAGGCACGGAGCCCACCGTAAGGCTCGAAACTGGGACCCTGTGATCATGACCTGAGCCAAAAGCAGATGCTTAACCAACTGAACCATCCAGGTGCCCCTGCCTGACATATTTCTTTTTACCTCCATTTATTGTCACTCTATGTGTTATATTTAAAGTGCATCTCTTGAAGATAACACTCTGACATCTCTGCCCCTTTTTTTTCTGAGATATAATTCACATACCATAAAATCCTCCCTTTTAAAGTGTATAGCTCCATGGTTCTTAATACATACAAAAAAAGTGTAACCATCACGGCTAATTCTCCTTATGCTGTTAATCTGGTTTCAAGTTCTCTGATTCTCTTGTCAACTCCAATCTGCTATTAAGACCATTGAAGTAGGATTTTTATTTCAAGTATTATATTTTTCAGTTCTAAAGTTTCCAATTTTCATGGTTTCTACATCCTAATGAGATTTCCTAGTCATTCAATATGAGCACATTTTCTTTCACTGCCTTGAGCATATTTATACTAGCTGCTTGAAAACCACTGTCTAAGCACATCTGGATGGTTCAGTCAATTAAGCAGGTAAGCATTAGGTCATGCCTTCAGCTTAGGTCATGATTCCAGGGTCCTGGGATCAAGTCCCCAAGCCTCCCTGCTGAGCAGAGAACCTGCTTCTCCCTCTCCCTCTGCCATTCCCCCTGCTTGTGCTCTCTCAATCTCACTGTCTCTCAAATAAATATGTAAATAAAATCTTAAAACGAAAAAAAAAAAAGAAAATCATTGTCTGCTAACTCCAGTATTTTGGTCATCTTGGAGTGGGGTGCCATTGATTGTTTTCTCTCCTGAATATGGATCACATTTTTTTCTTACTTTGCGTGTCTAACAATTTTAGGAATGTATCCTGGATGTTGTGAATGGCATAGTGGAGGGACTCTGGATTCTGTTCTATTCCTCCAAAGAGTATTGATTTGTTTTGCTGTTTTGTTTTAGCAGGCAGGTAATTTGACTGGACTTTAAACTCCAAAATTTCAATCCCATTCTTTCATCTTTACCTGGGCTGCTTGGAATTTGTCCTCCTGGCTTTAGGGGCCAAGCAGGGATTTGGGCTAAGTTTATACTCAGAACTTGGGCCTCTCTCTCTATAGACGTCTACTATCTGTGGTCTTTCCCCTCACTTTCTAGCTGTTGGGATTGCCCAGAACCCTGTCTTCTTAATAATCAAACTAGTAAGATTATAAGGTTTCCATTTAGGTTTAAACCATCCCACAAGGTAAAGGCCTGCTTTCAAGCTAAAAGACATTTTAAAAGATGATAAATTCACCCAATAACTTTTCTTTCTTCCTTTCTCCAATATCTGCATGCTTTTACTTATCCTCTATTACCTACAGGTAGTTTTTATTTAGCCAGAGTTTATAGTTGTTGCCTTAGGGGAGGGTTGGTCCAAAGAAGCTCTAAGTTACTGGGAGCAGAAAGAAGAGAGATCGAATGTGAAAATGAAAGAAAGATCAGGGTAGAAAGTTAGGCCCTCCTGCAATGGTAGGGGCTGGAAATAACCAGGCCTGGAGGAAGCCAGAGGCAGTAAAACATCTGAGGAAGGAGGGATCTTGGGCCTCAGCAACTCTGCTGGACTTGCATCACACGATTTGCAATGTGTGCCATTTCAACCATGAGTTACACAAAACAGTAAGTTGTAAAATCCTTTTATGTACTTCTTCAGCCACTTACACCCACCTCAAAAAAATAAAAAAAAAAAATAGAATTTAAATAACCCTAGTTTCCATGTGCCTGGAAAGGGGAAGATGTAGCTGAAATGCAAAGACCCAGAGAATAAAATTCTTAGTTTTTGAATGCCCCAGAACACAGCTCCTGGCCCTTTGAAGGAAGGTTTATGGATCACTTAACAGCAATTAGAAACAAAGGATGTGAGAAGCACTTCGTCAAAAATGGCTTTAAGTTTTGGACTTGAATACTGGAACATGGAATATACTATTAACAAAGCTAGGGATACCTGGATGGCTCAGCGGTTGAGCGTCTGCCTTCGGCTCGGGGCTTGATCCCAGCATCCAGGATCGACTTCCACATTGGGCTCCCTGCGGGGAGCCTGCTTCTCCTTCTGCCTGTGTCTCTGCCTCTCTCTCTCTCTCTCTCTCTCTCTGTCTCTCTCTGTCTCTCTCTCTCTCATGAATAAATAAATAAATCTTTTTTAAAAAATTAACAGAACTAAGGTGTCACACACAGGTGCCACTTTGGGGTTCAGGATGGGGCAGGACCCAGACAGAAGAGATCAGCACGTTGGGACGGGATCAGGTAGACATGCCCACCAAGTGCCATCCAGCAGAGAGCTGGAAGTGCACATCAAACTTTACAGCTCTTACTAAGTTTTCTACACATTGGTGATCTCAGGAGCCAGGGGTCCAGATAAGATCACTCGGGAAGAGAGAAAAAAAAGTGGATGAAGGGCAAATCTTGCAGAACAATAGAATCAAGGTGCTGAAACCAATGAGAGAAGTAGGACGAGAACCAGAATGATGGAATGAGGCAGCCAAGGGAGGAGTTCAAGATCAAGAGGATAGAGACACACAGAAAGGCAAGAGTTTAAAAAGCAGCTCCGCAGAAGGATCAGGAACAGCAAAGAGCAAGGGCTTGCTTCAGCAGGGCAAGATGTGGCAGGAACAACAGGAGCCCGTAGGGTCAGGTGGGCCAGAGAGAGAGAGAGAGAGACAGAGAGAGAGAGGACAGGGATGCAGGGACCAGGGCTTTATCCCGTGATATGGGCCAAGCCATCACAAGATTTAAACAGAGGAGCATTGGAACTATGTTAATCCTTTAAAAATATCACTTTGGCCCCAGGATGAATATGGAAGTGGACAGGCACCAAACTAGAGACAGGTGACCAGTAAGGAAGTCACTGCAAGAGTCCAGGCTCAAGATGTCGAGGCCTAGTTAAGGCAGAAGCAATAAGGAAGGCAAGAGAGGGATGGATGGTCAAGAGTTTTTGATGTTTGATAAAGAAGAAGAAAAAAAAAAGAAACTAGAAGGAGGGATAATGATGATGTTGGTGGTGGTGATGATGATGCCAGTGATAGCGGTGCTGGTGGAGAAGGTGCTGGAGGTGATAGTGATGCTGGTGGTGATAACAGCAGCCAGTGTGAACAGAGTGCTTACTGTGGGCCTGACGCTATTCTAAGTGAAAGCACGTGTTGCTTGGTGACTGGCTGGGTTTGCAGATAAAGCAGAGGGTAGGGGGATCGGAATGGAGCACTACAGACCGACCCACCAGTTTTTGGTTTGGATAGCTGGTAGCACCACTGTACTAAGTTCAGCAACCCAGAAGTGTGCACAGGCTTGCTTGGGCTTCATGGGGAGGCTGGTGCATCAGAGGAGTCACTCTGGGTTCTCTTTTGAATTCAGCACCTTGGAGGGAAGCAGAGAGACTACGAGTTCATTGGCCTGAGCCCTGACACAGAGTTCCTTGGGACCATCACCATTTCTGTTCCACACTTTTTCAAAGAGAGCGCTCCCTACGTGTGCCGAGTGAAGACACTGCCAGGTGAGTTCAGTGGAGACCAGAGACAGGTGGGACTCCTGAATTCAAATCTTGACTCTCTGCTTTCTTCTCGGTAACCGAGGTGAGGTTTGACGGTGCTCACAAAACTACCGAAGGACTGATTAGTGTTATCAAGGTCAGTCTTCCTTAATCCATCACTGAGTTAGCTGATAGGTTCTCATTAGACCCGTTTAATCCCCACCCTCCTGGGTTTCATCTCACCGGCCAACTTTCTGTGTACCCTGGCAAAGCACATTCACTTAATATTAACCCAGGTGAGATAACCTGGGAAATCATCTGCAGGAGGGAGAGCAGAGAAGATAAAGATATGCTCCCTCAATCTCTTCCAAAGTCAAAGAAAGGGAACAGGGATGAGAACTAGCATTTCTGCAGTGCCGACGACCAGGGACCAGGCACCACAAAGCAAAATCCTCATGAGCCATCTACAAGACAAGTAGCCATCACTTTGTTTTGCCGTGGGAGCCGAGGTTCAGAGTGGTTAAGTAACTGGTACGAGGGCACACAGCTGGCGAAGGACAGAACTGGGCTGAGGTCGGCAGCCCGCGTTCCTACCTGCTATAGAAATCGTTTTGAGTCATCGGCTCAGGGAGATGGTGCCGGTGCTCCCTTCCTCTAGCACACTGAAACTCGACTCTTCATCATCCAGCATCATGATATTTTTATTAGCGTTCATGTCCACAGAGATAGGAATGTTGTAATGCTCAGAGCTGCAAGTTTAGAAGATGAAAGCGATATTAGTGGGTCAGATGGATTTGAAAAAGAGCCTCCTCCTTAGTCATCAGCTTCAGATTAATGATGTCAGTAGGTGATGTGTGTTCTAGCGAACAGAGGCGAGGTGGCCGCTAGAGGCCGGGCCCTGGGCTGGCTGCAGCTTGGTAGCATCATCCTGGCAGGGGTTCTGGTCCTTGGTGTTGTTCAGGAACTCAACTCACCAGTCGCCCCCAAGAACCACCAAGGGACTGATATTTCCTGCCGAGTCCCAGTGCAGTCACTCTCAGGGAAGGGACGCCTGGGGGAAGAGCCAGCCCCGGCCCGCTCGCACGGGGCAGGCTCTTCGTGGGGCAAGTGCCACCGGGGAGACCAGAATAGAAGTTGACAAGAGTAGAACTGGGAAAGGAAACCTACTTTGCAGGCATCCTGCTGGGAGCATGTGTACCATTTGTGGCCCTCTCTCCTGGATGGGCTGGACAAATCTTGCCCACCCCTGACCCCCCCTGCTCTCTGACAACATGCAGACCACCCTCCCCTCAGCCTTTTGTGGGCTGGTCCTTACAGGATCTAGCTCATGATGTGATACCTTTTTGTTTTTTCCGAGACTGTAGCTGCTTTTACATAAATCACACTTCTTTTTCTCTTTTATAGATTTTATTTATTTATTTATTTAGTTAGTTAGTTAGTTAGTTATCACAGAGGGGAGCGCAGAGGGAGAGGAAGCATAAGTGGGGGGGGGCGGTGCACAGCTGAGGAAGAGGTTAGAAGCAGACTCCCCACTGAGCAGGAAGCCCTATGCGGGGCTCCATCCCAGGACCCGGAGCTCATGACCTGAGCTGAAGGCAGATGCTCAACCGACGACGGAGCCACCCAGGTGCCTCATAAGTCACACTTCTTATTGGCTATTTCCTGCTGACCTATAGAAGGCACCTCATCCTTAAAAATAAAGTATAGGAGTAACAATCCCTACTGTTTATTAAGCACCCACTCCATTGCCAAGCACCGTGTGTTAAATGCTTTATGTATATTACCCCATTTAATTTTTATAACCACCCTGCAGTTTGGGTGGCTTCATTCCCATTTTGCAGAGGAGGAGTTCTGGCTCAGAGAGGCCAAGCAACTTGCCAGTAAACACATAGCTGGTCAGTGAACCTAGTTAGTTCATCTGATCTTGAAGTCAGCACTTTGCAATTTTGTTTACAGCTAGGCCGCTCCACTACATATTTTTTCTTCTTATTTCCATTTCAGAGTGATATATCCTGCCCTTGACCCCATATCCTGTGGTCTGTTCCTATCCGTGGAGTCCAGAATTCCCACTTTACCTTCCAGGATGTCTGGGAGAGTCACAGAGCCACATCCCACATCTTGATGCTGGAAAGGACTCTGGGACTCATCTTACCCCATATCCAACTTTTACAGATGAGGAAACCAAGGCATCCTTGTGTAGTGTCTGTGAGAAGAGCTTTGTGCATGACAAGCCCAGTTCCCACTGAGTAGCTCTGTGACCTTGGCCAACTCACTTAGCCTCTCTGAGACTCAGCGTCCTGAGACTCAGCATCTCTGGCCTCTTTGTTTGGTGGGATATCATAGGTAAAGCATGCCACACAGTGCACACAGGAAGAGCTCAATAACTGCTGGCTACTGCTCTTAATACAAAGTAGACCAGAGAGGGTCGTGCAGCAGAGAGAAGGCTTCTCAGCATACGAGTGGCTGAGCCAGACCTCTAACACCCCACATTCCAATGTCGTTTCCATGATTTCTTCCTGCCTTCCCATGGGTGAAATTGCACATGGGATTGTTCCAAGTCCCTGTCCTACCCGGCTAGAGGAGCAGTGGTTTTCCTGTTACATTAGGCATGTCATGTTGAGACATCCTGGTCGTGTCTTCTCCCTGGAGCAGCAATGGGAATATCACGTGACAGGGGACAGGGTATTACCCAAGTGGGAAGTTGACCCAGAGAAGCCCAAGCCTAAAGGGCTGCAGAGGAGTGAGGAGTGGGCTCCAGTGATTCTGGGGGTTCACACCCATTGCCAAGGGCACTGGCAGCTGATGATCAGCACCCCATGCTGAAGCCTCAAGGGGGAATGGAAGGAAGGTGACCAGGAGAGTCAAACCCCCTGGAGAACATAAATCACGAGTTTTAGCAAAAATCCCAGCTACTGCTTCCTTACTATGCCCCTCACTCTTCCCACTAGGACTGGTGACAGGAAGTGTGTCATGCCAAGAACTGGCTGCACCCATCCCAAAGATGTGGGGCCACAGGGCGAAGGCTCCACGCTAAAGCCCTTAGTTGTCCTTCTTCCCTTTCAGAAAGGGTGCCGCCAGGGGCACCTGGTGGCTCAGTTGGTTAAGCATCTGACTCTTGGTTCTGGCTCAGGTCATGATCTCAGGGTCCTGGGATCCAGCCCCATGTCAGGCTCCACACTCAGCGTCAGGGAGTCTGCTTGAGATTCTCTCTCTCTATGCCCCTCTCACTTGTGCTCTCTCTCTCTCTCTCTCTAAAATAAATAAATATTTTTTAAAAAGAGAAAGAGAGAGAGAGGTGCTACCCCAGGCTCCCTCCTGAGCAAGATCTTCCTGAACACCCAGCCCATTACCTTTGTAGGGAGGCATGGAGGACAGGCCCCTCCTATGGCCACCTCTCTCCCCTCTGCCTCTGTCCCCAGCCCCCTGCCAGAGAGACAGGGTTGGCCTCAGACTCAGGCAGGAGAGGCCTGTTTAGAAGGCTCTTCTCTGGCTTTGCTCTGGCCACGGCCCTCGTCTCCCCACAAGATGAAGAGTCCATAGGTCCAAATGCCAGGTCCCCCTCGAGCCTGTGACATCCCTTCTAGCCCGCCCTCTGAGTACCTGGGACCCTGAAATTCCCAGTTCAAATGCCCTGGGAATGTCCAGTCTAGTGGATCTGTCCCTTGCATCCTCCCTCCAGAGCAGAGATACCCTGTTGATGGACAGACCCTCAGGCCCTAGGTGTGAGGCAGCTATGTGTTGAGGGGTGTGGATGAGCTTGGCCATGTGGGCTGGGGCATCTACATCCCTGTGCACGAGGTCCACGGTGGGCCAGGGAACTGTGGCAGGCTCTCCCTGCACCTCCACATTTCAGCACAGGACCCCAGGGAGTCCAAGAATTCAAAATTCAAACCTGGCCTTCCAGGTTGTGATGAAAAGCATCTGTGTCGGGGAGGGAGCATACAACGCATGTTACTCAGTGTAAGAATATGATCTATAAACTCTGGATATTCAGACATATCTAGTACGTGGCCCTCTACTTGGGCTCTTAACTCAGCCTGCACATACTGGGGGCAGGAGAGGCCTTCCCAAGACGGCCGGAGAGGGCAGGGGAGGAAAAGCACCCAGCCTGCAGCATCCACACGGGGTGGGGCCCAGACCGGATCCTGGCCTCAGTCTTCTGCTCTGGCCCCTTTGCTCCCCCAGATCGGACATGGACATACTCCTTCTCTGGCGCCTTCCTGTTCTCCATGGGCTTCCTCGTCGCGGGGCTCTGCTACTTAAGCTACAGATATGTCACCAAGTTGCCTCGGCCTCCCAACTCCCTGGTGAGCAGTTGCGTCCGGGGCAGGAGAGAGAGGTCCTGGGGCGGGGGGGAAGGGGGATCCCCAAAGCAGCAGGGGACACAGTCCCAGAAGATTAGCACACAGCACAGGACATTAGGCCTCGTTCTCCTCTCCAACCTAAAGGTGACACAGACACGGCCTAGCAGGGTGTATTAGAGAAGGGCAGGTGACCGAGAATAGGGGGCTTGGAATAGAAACCCCCTCGATTTGAGAACGTCGGTTTCCAGGCAGGTAACATGGGACCTGAGAGCTCAGGCCTCTGCAAGGGGCCCGAGGAGGGGTGGGCCCCATGGGGAGCCCCGGAGCTCATGCCCTGCCCAGATGGGCAGCCGGGTACGGCCTCCTGGGAACGCAGGCGAGTTGCCAAGTCTTCTAAGCCCTTCTATAAACCCCCCGGGTCACACTGGCAGCCCCAAGAAGTGGGCTGAAGCAACAGCGTCTGCAGCAGGGCCCATCTGACAGGCCTGGGGCTCCAGGAGCTGCCTCTTGTCTATGTGAGGGACAGGGGGACGGGAGGGCATTTCGCCCCATGCCAAAGCCCCCATGAGCCATTTCCTATAAGACTCTCCCAGCCTTCCCTCGTTCCCTCTCCTTCTGCCCCTGGCACCCACCAGCAGGCTCTTAGTGAGTATGGTCTGGGGAGTGGACCCCAGGGCAGCCTCCAATCAGTCATCGACTTCCTGGACTATCTACCTCCTAGAGAAACCACAGCCTAAATCTCTCTCCTTGTGATAACCCAGACGTTAGAAGTGGCTCGCACCTAATGGGCTGGGAGCCCTGTCCCTTAGGGAGGCCCAGCGCTTAGAGGAAGCTCTGGAAAGTCAAGGGGATGCGCAGGATGTGCATTTTGAAAAGTCCCCTGGGTGCTCTATGCCATCCCTTCTGCCTCCCCATGGAGGACCCAGCCGTCCGGGACCCCTCCCAGAGATTCGAGTGGGCCCTAACGGGTGGATTGTTGTCCCTGCACAGAACGTCCAGCGAGTACTGACCTTCCAGCCTCTGCGGTTCATTCAGGAGCACGTACTGATCCCTGTCTTGGACCTGAGCAGCTCCGGCAGTCTGGCCCAGCCTGTCCAGTATTCCCAAGTCAAGGTCTCCAGGCCCAGGGAGCGCCCAGGAGCCTCCCCACTGCACAGCCTGTCTGAGATGGCCTATCTCGGGCAGCCAGACATCTCCATCCTCCGGCCCTCCGGAGTGCTGCCTCGCCAGACGCTCTCCCCACCGTCCTATGCACCCCAGGCTGCCTCTGAGGTCAGGCCCCCCTCCTATGCACCTCAAGTAACCCACGAAACTAAGCTTCCATTCTACACTGAGCAAGCCATGTCTGAGGTCCAGCCTGCTTCCTACACCCCTCAGACCACTCCAGACGGCTGGCCTTCTTCCTATGGGACGTGCGTGGAAGGCTTTGGCAAAGACTCCCCACCTGTGACTCTCTCTAGGTCCAAACACCTCAGGACTAAAGGTCAGCTCCAGAAAGAGGCACAAGCTGGGAACTATATCCCAGATGGCCTTTCTCTGCAAGGGGTGACCTCCTTGGATAGGGAGGCCCCCCAAGAAGCAAATTTCTTCCACCAGCATCTGGGAGTTCACACGGACAGAGTACCTGACCCCAGTGTGCGACACAAAGGGACACCATCATACCTAAAGGGCCAGCTTCCCCTCCTCTCCTCTGTCCAGCTCGAGGGCTGCCCGATATCCCTCCCTTTACACAGTCCTTCCCTCCCATGTTCCCCCACAGACCAGGAACCAAGTCCCTGGGGCCTGCTGGAGTCCCTTGTGTGTCCCAAGGATGAGGGTCTCATGTCTGAGATGGAGGCCCAGAGCCCAGCCTCTCAGACCTCAGACCTGGAGCAGCCCACAGAACTGGACTCTCTCTTCAGAGGCCTGGCCCTGACAGTGCAGTGGGAGGCCTGAGCAGAGGACAGGGCAGGCTTGACGTTTCCTCCCTGTCCCCACCCAACCTCACGTGGTTGGCCATTGCTCCCACACCCAGCCTTGCCACACACTCTGCAGCCCAGCCTCAGGGGGCTGCCCTTGAAAGAACCGAAGGAAAGAGGGACATAGGGCCTCTGCCATGGCTGAGCTGTGGTTGGAGCAAAAAAGTTGGGCATGATGAGGACTCCAGCCAGAGGAGCCCCGGGTACGCATCTTGCACAAATGAGCACGTGCAAGCAGAGCTCTGCAGGGCAGGAGGGGACGGGCAGAGCGTGGGGAGCCGAGGCAGGGAGACCTCATGGAGATCCGGGCCCCAGCTCCGAAGATGCTGAATGCAAAATTCCCTACCCCACTCCTGGCCAGTTTCATAATCTAGTTCGACAGAGGGTGACGTCCTCTCTGGTCCCCTATCCTGAGAAACGGAGCCTGGAAAGGATGCCTCACAGCAGGCTGGGCAGCACCAGGACAAGCTGCACTTCTGGCCAAAGCCAGAGGGAGCCCGATGGTGAGACTCCAGGGAGGAGTGCGGCCTGGGGCTCATTCCCAACCAAGCTGCTTGCCGGAAATCACACCATGTTGACCTGGTCCCTCTTCTAGAGTCTTTACGCCAGGTGAAATGCAGGTCCACCAGTGAGGGAGCACACACAAGCGTCTTCTGCCGGCAGAAGTTGCAGACCCTCTCCTGAGAGCAGGGTTCGTAAGGAACGTGGGGCCACGTGGCTCCCGATGCCGACACAATGGCAAAGTGCACGCACTTCACAGCTTAGAAGACTGAGCCGTGGGTTCAGCTCATCTGGGTTCAAATTCCTGCCTTACCACTTACCAGCAAATGAATCACTGCTCAAAATCTCAGTTTCTTCATCTGTAAAATGGGGATAGTGACGCCTACTTCAAGGGGATGTGGTGAGGATGACATTCATAATGTCTATAAAGTACTTAACAGTGCCTGGCACGTGCTCAGTGTCGGATCAACGGTAGCCGTGTCCTGTTGTGGTTTTTTTTTTTTTTTGCAAATCAGCCTGCACAGTGAGGGACCTGCTCCCTCAGTTCAGGTGGCTTCACACTGGGCATTTTCTCATGAGCTCGAATCACCCCAATTTTCTCAGGACAGCTCTAGGCCAGGCCAGAGGGGCTGGGGGGAGGTGGAGGGATTGAGGGGCCTTCTGGGCCTTCTGGAAACAGGGCCCAAAGACAAATGGGATCTTCTCCCTGAGGTTGTAGGGGGAAGTTGTTTGGGAGTGGCGGTGGCATGCCCAGATCTCCTCCGCACACCCCAGCAGAGGCAGCGTGGTGCCAGCTTACCCTGCTGCCCCTGTGGCTGCTCCTCTGGGAGGAAATGGCTCCTTGCTCCTGCTTGCAAGGTGCTGCCACCGAGCCGTGACACAGCTGGAGCTCAAACCTTCCACTCGTCACCCGAAGGAGCTTTCCACACTGGCTTGGATTCTCAGAGATGAGACTAAGGTGGCATAAGGGGGGGAGGGACTCCAGTGGGGGTCCTTCAGGGGCCAAGACCTGTCATCACCCTTTTGTCCAGAAGTCTGTTCTGAACATTACTGAGAAACAGGATCAAAGTCTGTTGCCTCAGCACGACCTTCCCGAGTATACAAGGCTCTCCCTTCTCTGTACCCAGATGTGTCTCCCCTCCTCTTCCTCAGGGCACCCACCCCACAACACAGCACCAGGTGTTGGTGTTCTTATTTATTTTTAAAGGGTTTATTTATTTATTCGTGAGAGACACAGAGAGAGAGACAGAGACACAGGCAGAGGGAGAAGCAGGCTCCATGCAGGGAGCCTGACATGGGCCTCGATCCTCGGTCTCCAGGATCAGGCCCTGGGCTGAAGGCTGCGCTAAACAGGCCGTACCACCTGGGCTGCCCAGGTGTTGGTATTCTTCTCTGTTTGTCATTAATATTTAACAGCTCTTCAGGGTCATTGGTCTAGACCCGAATCTCCATAACAGAGGGGTGGGCCACCCTCCTGACCACCGCAGTCCTTCCCACCCCCCACCCCTTTTCTCTGCAGCAGCCACTAAGGTGGCCTCAATGATTATCCCCTCCCCCCACACTGCAAACAAGTCTCCTTCCTGTCACTTGGGGTGAACTTGGCCAAAGGTTGACTATCTTGACTATCTTCACCTTGTTTGGTAATGAGAAACAACTTAACAGCCGGACTGTTCTCACCAGGTAAGTGGGACAGGGAGTCACAGAGATATTTTTTCAAGGCCATAAAAGGGCTGTGAGGCTCTCTAAGCTCCTCGGGACGATAGATAGATGTCCCAACTACTCGGTGACTCTCTGAGGGTGGAGTCTGAGTGCCTGAGGAGAGAGATGAATGGCTCTGAGCCGTAGGACCCTCCGCAGGCTGCCCTGGCCCCACCGAAGGGCAGGTCCCAGGTCTCTGGTCTCCCAAGCAGGCAGCCCAGGCCTGCAGACAGGGCTTGGAAGCAGCTAGAAGGCAAAGGGTCTGAGGCTCTGTGGAGCTGGGCTGAGACATTAGCATCCCTGAGAGTCCTAGGCCCTGACCCCATTACCAGGAATCTGCACAGCCTGGCCCCACCTAGCCCAGACAAGAGAGTCTTTGCAGCAGAGCCCAGCCCAGGAATAAACAAACAGGTGTGGTAGCAGGTAGCAGTAATAATAGCAATAAGAAGGAGGAACCCAGCCATGTCACTTGGCTGTTTACTTACTTGACCACTCATCGTCCTGGGAAACTGCCATGAAAGGTTGTATTATTGATATTTTGCAAGGGAGAAAGATAGCTCAGAGGGGTTACTTGCCCAAGTTGGTTTCCCAAACCTGCCTCATCATGAGATGTAAAAACGCAGCTTCCCCAGCCCCACCCAGACCTGCTAAATCCTCAGCTCCTGGGGAATCTGTATTTCTGATAAACCCCTTTGATGATTCCTCTCTGGCAAGTGGAGGGAACGAGGCCCTCCTACCCACAGTTTCCCTGTGCATAGCTTCAAATCACCTCCCAGGAGTCACCCTCATTACAGCCCCTGGCTAGGGGTGGGGGGCAAGATTACTTGGGCAGCATTCAACCTGCAAAGTCCGCAGACCCCTGGCCTCCCAAGCCCCCGGCCCCAGGAACATGCAGGAGTTGCCTGAGTTCCTGCCCAAGGAATAGGGCCCCTAGGACTGGTGCTCCTCCAGTGTCCCAGAGGTTGGGATCCCTCTGCACCCCTCCAGGTCTGAGCATCAGCCTGAACAAGGAGGCTATGACCACGTGTCACCACCAAGGCCTGTCCCCTGTTGCTGTCTCCACCCTACGTCCCATAAAGTGGGCCAGAAACAGTGGAGGCAGGAATGGCTCACAGCCCTGAGACCCTGGCCCCCATGCTCTGCCCCAGGGCTGCTCCAGCCCATGTTCCTTGCCTACGCTAAGGAGGAAGTGCCATTAAAGAAGATACCTTTTGACCTGTCAGTATGAGAACAGTAAGAGGAATTAACTGAGTTGGGGAGACGACAGCGGGAAGGAAGGGAGACAAGCAGGAGGAAAGGAGGTGGTGGGCCGGACAGCGCTCCCCTTGGCTACCAGGTGAAGCCATCTGCCAAAAACAGCTCGGTGGCTGTCTGAAAAGTGGTGTGGAAGTTTAGGATGTTGGGCATGTGAATTTAAACAAGCATCCTTAGGGGATCCCTGGATGGCTCAGTGGTTTAGTGCCTGCCTCGGCCCGGGGCGTGATCCTGGAGGCCCGGGATCAAGTCCCACATCAGGCTCCCTGGATGGAGCCTGCTTCTCTCTCTGCCTGTGTCTCTGCCTCTCTCTCTCCGTGCCTCTCATGAGTAAATAAATAAAATCTTTAAAAAAAATAAAATAAAATAAACAACCATCCTTAATGTTCATACATCCAGGGAAAGCAGTAAAAAGGAGAAGAAAAAAAGGGAAGGGAAGAAAAGAGGAAATATTGAAGGGTACTCGCCACAATGAGCCAGGTGCTAGACCAGGGGATTTATGCATTTTAACCTCATTTGAATCTTGCAACCATTCTGCAAGATAGCATTCGTTCATTCGCTCAGTCACTTATTCTTTTGTCTTTTAAAAGATTTTATGTATTCATTCATGAGAGACACAGAGAGAGAGAGAGAGAGAGAGAGAGAGGCAGAGACACAGGCAGGGGGAGAAGCAGGCTCCATGCAGGCAGGGAGCTCAATCCCAGGAGTCCAGGGTCATGCCCTGAGGCTGATGCTCAACCGCTGAGCCACCCAGGTGCCCCTCATTTATTCTTCAACAAGCATATATCAAAGGGCTAGCTGTATGCCCGGCACTGTTCTCGGGACTAGGATACAGTGAACAAGGCAGGCAGGCTTCCCATTGTGTTAGAACTTACCTCCCAACTTACCAGTAAAGGAACTAAGCCCAGAGAGGAGGGTCCCTCCATTAGTGAGCACAGGTGCCCGAGGTTGGGATTTATTTTTTTTAATATTTTTTAAAGAGTTTTTTAATTTAATTATTCATAGAGACACAGAGAGAGAGAGAGGCAGAGACACAGGCAGAGGGAGAAGCAGGCTCCACGCAGGGAGCCCGACATGGGACTCGATCTGGATCTCCAGGATCACACCCTGGCTGAAGGCGGCGCTAAACCGCTGGGCCACCAGGGCTGCCCGCCGAGGTTGGGATTTAAACTAAGGTTTGGGGCACCTGGGGTGGCTCAGCGGTTGAGCATCTGTCTTTGGCTCAGGGCATGATCCCGGGGTCCCACGATCAAGTCTCGCATCAGGCTCCCCGCAGGCAGCCTGCTTCTCCCGCTGCCTGTGCCTCTGCCTCTCTGTGTGTGTCTCTCATGAATAAATTAATAAAATCTTTAAAAAATAAATAAGTAAATAAACCAAGGTTTGGGGGCACGTTGGTGGCTCATTCTGTTAAGTGTCTGCCTTCAGCTCAGATCATGATCCCAGGGTCCTGGGACCGAGTTCCGCATGGGGCTCTCAGTTCTGTGAGGAGCCTGTGTCTCCCTCTCCCTCTGCCTGTCACTCCCCCTGTTTGTACTCTCTCTCCATCAAGTAAATAAAATCTTTAAAAAAAAATACGTTTTAAACAAAGTTTTGTGTAATTCCAAGTCTCACTTCTGCTCAGCCTCCTGACCTGTGGGGTTGGCTATGTGCACTTTAAGGCCCATCTGGGCCTCCCCGAGGCTATGCCCCAGTGAGGAGTGAGGGCATCACTGGGGTGAATGGAATCCCACACACAGAAGGAGGGTAAGCTCTCAGCGTCCCTAGTGCTGTGGAGTGGTCAGGGGAGTTCTCACGTAGCAGGTGTTCGCTGGGCGCCAGGGACTCCGCTGCAGGCTGCACATTCCCTGGTCGAGTCTTCTCAATCTCACTGCAAGGCCAGCATCGTTGACCCCACTGTACAGAAAACAGAAGCAGAATGGTTAAATGACTTACCCAAGGTCCTACAACTGGTAAGTGGTGACACCTCCACCAGGCTGCCTTGGGGGGAAAGGGGATTCCAGGACCAGTTTAAATGTCTGTCTCCTGCTGGATTAGAAACCCATACCACCCTGCTGTATGTACAGCTTCACACTCACACCTCACACAGAATGTATAAATATGGATCCCTGGGTAGCTCAGCGGTTTAGCGCCTGCCTTTGGCCCAGGGAGTGATACTGGAGTCCCGAGATCAAGTCCCACGTTGGGCTCCCTGCATGGAGCCTGCTTCTCCCTCTACCTGTGTCTCTGCCTCTCTTTCTGTGTCTCTCATGAATAAATAACATCTTTAAAAAGAATGTATAAATATGGGTCTTGGAAAGCCCTTCTGAGGTTGGCTCAGTTCCAGATGGAAGAGAGCCACCAAATGTTCCCCACCAAAAGATACTTTTAACGCTGCAGCCAGGGAGGAAGGGGGAGAAGCAGGAAAGCTTAGAAGGGGGTTTTCAAATCGGGCAGGAGATTAAGATTTTAGCTGAACAGCTCACTTGCATTCTCTCTTTCTAGCCCCTGAGACGCTAGAAAGAATGACAGGAACAGTGTTGCTGGTCCCATCAGGCTCCAGGAGGAGGCCAGGGAGGAGAGCTGTACTCTGGACGACCAGAGCTGCTGGCACCCCCTTCCTCGAACCTGCTCAACCCCTGAGACCTGGCTCAGGTGCACCTTCCTGGTCAGCACCCCCCCCTTAGTAACTGCCTGTCTCCCCACCTAAATTAAAGCTTCCACCACACCAGGAGTCTTTTTCCCTTCTGCCTACAAAGGGTGGGTGTGAATGAATGTGGGGGAAAGAACTGAGGCACTGGAGGGGGTGTGGCAAAGGCTGGAAAGATGGAGAGGCCCTTCTGGAAGCCTCCTCTCCTGCCTCAGCCATGCCCGGGACATACCAGGGCCTGGGAAGACAAGCAACCTGCTTTCATGTGGACCAGTGATAATGTACAAGCACTGAAGGCTTGTTTTGCTTTTTATTTATTTTTTTAAAGGTTTTATTTATATATTAATGAGAGACACACACAGAGAGGCAGAGAAACCGGCAGAGGGAGAAGCAGGCTCCCTGCGGGGAGCCCGATGCGGGACTCGATCCCAGGACCCGGGGATCAGGACCTGAGCCAAAGGCAGACGCTCAACCACTGAGCCACCAGGTGTCCCTGAAGACTCATTTTAGGTCCCATTCCTTCCACTGTCTTTACAAATAGTGTCCAGTCTCCCAGCTCCGTTTTTCACAGGGTGGGGTCAGATCAGAGACGCCAGTCAGAAGCCCAGCCACTGGGAGAACCGCTCCTTATCTGCTCTCCCTGCAACCAGGGCTGACCTGTTGGGGGATCTTCTTTCTACTTCAGTTGGGGAGTGGGTGGGGGTGAGAACCTGGCAGAAGGGATCAGGCTGAGGGAAGGAGCAGTGTGCGGAGGCTGGGTGGGGGTGGGGACAGCTCCACCTGTTGCTGCCGCCTGAGCAATGCTGGACTGACAGGACAGCCCCTCCTCTCTGCCCCCCCTCCATAGTTCCCATCCATTGTCATCAACTGTCTCAGCGCTGCTATATTTAAGGCCCATGCAAGCTCCAGGATCACATTCTTCTCCCAGTCCCTGCTGAGCCCGGGGCAAGAAGAAACCAAGGTCCCTCTCATCCTCTGGAATCTTCTCCCCAGAGACGCCTAAGTGGGCACAGCTGCTTCTGTGAGTGACTTCCAGGGATCCGGGGTCGGGAGGGACACCTTCAAAAAGGGAGACCCTCAGCTTTCCATTAGGAAGTCGGGTGTGTGTGTGTGTGTGTGTGTGTGTGTGTGTGTGTGTGTGTGTGTTGGGCAAGGAGCCTGGGGGATTTGGGAAGAGAAAGTACACACGTGCCCAGGTAGCACCCGAGTGAGAATGGGAGGGGATTCTGTGCCCCGCAGCCCCTGTCGCTGCTGTGCGGCCCGGGTCCTCTGCGCTGAGCCCTCTGTGATGTGAGAGGCGTCGGGGATGCTGGCGCAGGAGACGGGCCGGGGTGAGCTGGCAGGGCCGCAGGGCTAAAGCAAAGCCGGCGGAGGCCCACTTGGCCCACCGGGCAGGCAGGGAAAGGGAGTGAGCCCTCAAGGCCCGAACCCCAGGGCCAGGAGGGCACTTGGCCAGCCTGGGCTCGCTGGCAGGAAACCGAGGCCCAGAGAGGGAAGGGGTTGCCTCAGCTGCTCAGCGGCGGGGTCAGAAGCTGGGGGCGCTCGGAGGACTCAGCTTCCTGCCGTCAGGCTCTGCGGGTCACTCGGCCTCTGGCCTTCTCTTTCCCTCCTGAGGAAGGGGAGAGGCCTCCTTGCCCCCCCCTCGTGCCCGGGGGGTGCCTGTCAGAAGGCCTGGTGGGAAAGCAGAGCGGGGCTCGGGAGCAAAGGGAGGCCCTGCTGCAGGACCCGTGGCCCAGGCCTCGTACCCCCAGGAGAGGGGAGCCGGCAGGTCCCCCGCCGGCCCACCCCCGCCGACCCCTCCCCGGCAGGCCCACATGGCGCTGCCCTCCTGTTGCGCCTTAATCCCGAGCCTCAGTCAGTGCTTTAAAAAGAATTGATGGCTCATCTGCTAAAGCGAGGGGTCTGGTTGCGGGAGGCCCAGGAGGTCAGGGTTGGGTGCCAGTCACCCCCCCACCCCCCCACCGCCACGGTGCTAATCAGGAACAGAGCATCCGGGGAAGGGAGCCAGCAGCTGACGCCAGGGAACGTTCCTCAGCTGCTAGGGCCAGGGCCACGGTGTCCCGGGAGAGCTGGGGGAAGGGGGCCTCCCCACCCAGGGTGGTACCCATGGTGCTCCTCTGGGGCTGTGAGGAAGGAGGCACACAAGGAGCGTGGGCCAGTCGTTCTCCGGGTGCAAGCAGACCCTATCCCTCAGGAGAGGCCTGACGCCCAAGGAGTGACTGTCCTGTTACGTTCAGCTCACGTCATCCACAGGAGGCCAAGGAAGTTTTGGTGCAGCCTTTGTTCCTGGCTAACAATCTGCAGGAATCCAGACACTGAAAGGGAACAAACTTTTAGGAACAAGAAGGAGTAAAAGCCCACTAAGATTGTCCCTCAGCAGCCTGTGCCCCCCGACACCCCACAACACGTCCATCAGGCCAGGGTGCTCAGATGAGGCCAGCGGGCCCATCTCCCATGTTATGGACTCAGAGAAGTGATCCTTCGTTGCCATGTTCACACCCAGGTCAGAATACCACACACACATTCCAGCTCGGCGGGGAAGACCTCAGGGAGGCTGGGGTCAGGGACGACTTCGGGTCAAGGCCCAGCAAGGAGCCTCCCAGACCCCAGCCCTGCCCACAAGAACTGGCCCCTGGAGGAGGTGTGGAAGCCACCCCAGGGATTCTGCGGAGCATCCCTGAGCCTCAGCATCAGAGGGGCCCTCAGAGACCCAGTGGTGACACCAAGGCCCATATCTGGGAAAGAACTCTGTGTAAGAACCCAAAGCTAGCCAGCTGATGGGCCTCGCACTCTCCCTGCCCACCTCTCCGTATCTGTGGATTTACTCCCTGGTCCCTGAGGCTCCTCCACACCCACGTGATCCAACCCTTACTGGGCACCACTTGTGGCCCAGACCTGAGCCTCTAGAATACAAAAGGGATCCCTCAGTTGTGATCCCTTTATGAGAAGAAAGGCCGTGTGGCCCACGGGGTCCCCAGCCATAGCCGCGGCCTGGCCCTCAGTAGGCATGTGACATAGATGTCAAGAGAGCTCAGAGTTGGGTACCAGTCATGGTCCCACCACCAACCAGCTGACCTTGGGCTAGCACTTTCCTTCCTCATCAGCAAAATAGACTGATGATGGGTCTGGCACATTGTGAGCACTCACTGTTGTTCCTTTTAGTTCACTTACAATCTTGGAAGAGAGCGAAGATGTACACATATGAAATAATCGAATGGGAGGAGGTTTTTTTTTTCCAAATCAGAGCTGAACTGTGGCGTGGGGACAGAAAAGCATAAAAAGGATTAAAGGAAGGAAAATTCTAGGTGGCCGGTTGGTTTTGGCAGTGTTACTTAGAAAAACAATGCTAGTGTCTAACCCTTACATGGCACTTGCTATGCTCCAAGCACTCTTCTAACCTCGACAACCAGCCCGGAAAGTCAGCCTGGGCTGTGAAGCCTGGGTGGTGCTCAGCAGACCAGGAGGAGACAAAGATCTTTCCAACGTGGCCATCAGGGCAGGCAAAGGCGCAGAGGTAGGGCTGGGTGGGCACATGCAGGAGGAGTGAGGACCCCTGCCCATCCCGAGTCACAGAGCAGCCCTCGGACATCACGGGGTGGGATGGCTCGTCATCTGAGAAGTGGAGGCCCAAAGAAGGGACGGCGTGGCCCAGGTCACGGGCAAGGTGAGGGCAGAGCTGTTGCTCCGGTGCCGGGCGGCCCTCACTCAGCGGCAGAGGGCGACGCGTGGTGCATTAGCCCACGAGTGCACAGCCGGCCTCTGTCCCCTCGGCCCGGTCCCTGCCCCTCCCCGGCCTCCACGCCTCTGTCTCACCCCTGGAGAGAGAACCCCCGACCCCACAAACCTCCCGGGGATGCCGAGAGGACCACTCGGGGAAGGGATGGGCCTGGTGGAGTGACCATGCTCCTTGGCTTGGCAGGTT